TCCCAGCCTTTTGAACCCTTAAGGCTTCCCAGCCTAGAGGCTTCCCAGCCTCATATCCTCCTCAGCCCCTTAGCTTGTTGAAAAACATAAATATATAATTTTGCCTTTGGTTTCAACACAAAATGGCATCTAAACATAGATTCCCAGAGTGCTTCACAAACATCCAGGCAAGATGAATATCCATTCAAACAGGTTGAATGTAACATTTCCCTGATTCCATAGAGGAAATCCCGACCGGGATGGAAACAGTGCGTTTGTTGGAGTCCTCCCTCATGTCCTTGCGACCCCACCGCAACTGACAATCGTCACTCAAAAACATTTGACACTCTGCTCAATGCTTTCCATCAAGTCTCGCTGTGGTGCAGTCGGTTTCGCTTTTCCAAACTGAGGGGGCAAATGATTCAAAAAAACAAGCAACTCACACCAGCAGAACGGAGCAGCTTTCTCAACCAACTTTTCATCCCCAGCAGAGATCTCAGCTTGCCACGCGATTCCTGAGCCGACAACATATGAAGACCCTTCGACGAGGAGGCCAGGGCTGACGTCCATAGGTAGGGAGCACGTCATTGGTATCCGGCTGGATTTGCGTCGCTCTCTTCAAGCTCAAACGTTTCAAAAGACTGCTCGATCTATTGGGGATGCGCTTCGGAGGCTGTGCTCGGGTCAACTCCGTCAGGGAACTGACCCTTTGGTCGATCCTCCGCGCAGCCGCAGGAGCAGGTTGAGTGAGGCACTCCACCTGTGCATGTTTGTCACATAGCCGCAGTGGTCCAACCTCGCGAAGTCCCTCCACCCCACCATATAGTGGGACTTGTAGACTGTTCTCATGCCATCTAATGTCTTCCTAGTCTCGCTGTTGAGGCCCTGAGTCAGGGTCACGTCGACTCGACGGGTAAAAGAGCGAGGACTCGCGAAGAAGATGTGCGTAAGCGTGTAAACGTCCTCCAGGCCAAAGAACATGTCAAGCCATCTCATCGTAGGCCCCGCATTGTGGCTATTGAGAGCCGGAGATTCCATTTGGAGAAATCGAGTTTGAATACGTGGTCTAAGTGGGATGCAGCACTTGCGAGAGCGGCTGGCTGCTCCGCCGTTTCCAATGTCATCAAGCGCCTTAGAAACCTGGGCTTCCGACGACGTCATATTAGTTAGAATTCGGAAAGACAGAGTCGGCTATGTTCCGTTCAGTGCCTACGAAGTACGTTCGGAGCTCAAGTGTAAGCATCCCGTAAAGTCTGGGAGTTATGCGAGCTCACTCTCCTTGGTTCTGAGTCCAACGTGTGTTTTCTCCAGAGTCTTCTCAGAGATAGACCTGATGAGTGCGGCGGTGTCTAGTCTCTCTCTCGAGAGAGAGGTACTCAAGCATGGTCCTTCGTGATGTGCTGCACTTCGCGGGCAAAACGAAGCGCCGATCCAGCACCAGCACCAGCACGGCTTAGGTAGATTGAAGCAGCTGGGATCCTCTTTGAATGTTCGAGATCATCGGGTGAAGGGGCGACTCAACCATACCACACGGCCACACGGGGGTGCTCCAGAGGCGTGTCTTGGACGCTTGGACCCTGAAAACCATTAATGGGTGTTAGAGGAGAATCAGAATCGTCTGTGGTCCATGGGGTCCATGTGCTCCGTCCGCAGAGTAAAACCATACGCCGATCCAGTGGGCCAGCACCAGCACCAGCACGGCAGCACCCGCAAAACGTAAACGCCGATCCAAAGCCACACCATTGAGAAGTGAGAGCCCCTATAGCTTGCAGCTATCTGGTGAAAAATGCAACACCAGACAGACATCATCCATAGTTTCGGCTCTGCTGGCATCCATCATCAAGCAGGATGAGCAGTAGCAGCAGGAGCAGCAGCAAAAGAAGCAGCAAGCAGCACCAGCAGGAGCAGGAGCAGCAGCTGGCAGCAGCAGAAAGAGCAAGAGCAAGAGCAGCAGTAAAAGAAAAAGCAAGAGCAAAGGGTTGAGCAGCAAGAGCAAGAGCAACAGCAACAGCAGTGGCACAAGAGGCATTTGATCCAGGGGGTAGGAGGGTTGTGATGAAGAATCTCAATGCACAATCCCAACTCTTAATACATATTTGCTAAAGCAAGGACAACTCAGGTAGCTGAGACTACCTTTCTTGACTATAGTTATCGACTACATAGCACACCAACTTATGATCCACACAAATTGGAACAACCATAATACAGAAACAGAAAAACACCTCATTTCTGCTTGGGCCCTCGCTCCCCTCGCGGAGCACGTCGTCGGCTCCCGCCTGGGCGAAAGGGCTTCCATCGCCGGATACTCGGCGTGTCCTCGAGGCGCCGGCGCGGGTAGCGAGCGCGAGAGCGCGCGCTGGAGGAAGTTCGGAAAAAACGGGAGGTCTTCGAAGCCGGAGACACTATCAATTGAAGCTCATGACAAGAGGGGAAAGTAAGGATGGAGTAGGGATATTCCATCTCAGGAGGTGTAGTGGTGTTGTAGGTCTTGTTTCGATTGTTCCACGAGCGTCTTATGGATGATAAAGTTTATACAGCAAACCTGAATCCCGAGTTGGAAGGAACCTATTCCTGGCGCTCTCAGTTGCCTGTCTCTTGTCACTATTGAGCCTGCGTAATTTGCTTTACGATGACGCTGCAAGTGTTGAGGGATGTTGAGTGTGGTTCTCAACGTTGCTTTGTTTGATTGTCAAAAAAAAGAGGAATCGGCACCTCTCACGGGGGCTGTATCACAGCCAACATATCTGACGCCCATCTGGTGTTCTGTCGTTCATGGGCTTCCCCTTCTTTCCTTTGCCTGTTCCTTTTCCACCTCCTTTCTTCGATTTACCTCCTCCTTTGCCCCATTCTTCATAGCGATCCGATTGCCGTTACAGGCGCCCTAGTTGTATGGTGGACTCCTCAAGCGTGCCCGTCTCTCTCTCTGGTGCCCTCTATCCACCCTCTTCCCATCTCATGGCGCGGAGCGAGCCGTCGAGCGGCTTCCCCTCGGTCACACGGACCATCTGCCTCCTGATCTTCACATGCCAGCATCAGGTCGAAGGGAAGTCCAGGGATCGCCGTTCTTGGACTCTTTTGAGCCCCAGCATGTGCTCTCCCAGCAGGTCCAGGTACTTCAAGAAGTGCTGCGGTTGCAGCTCTCTCAGGATGACCTTCTGATTAAAACTTTATCTTTGCAAACAGGTAGCTGTGGGCCACCACAGCAATCCTCCTTAACTCCTCTGCGGTCTCCTTGTTGCTAGCACCTCGGAAGATTCTGGGTTGCAGGCATTGATGAAGCTAAGTGGAGAGTGACAGCAAATAGCTGTAGCTCAATGTAGAATGTGTGTCTCCTTTTCGCTCATCCTTCACCCCCTGGCTGTTTGTCAGGAGTCATTTGAAAGTCCATGCCTGGGTTTGGAGGAAGCGCGTACACAATCAACCATTGTTTAACGTACTGCACAATGAGTGGGCAAGGCTTACAACTTCCGACTCTGTGGTAAGGCGCGAGGTTGATGTTTGCCTCTTGGACATCCATGCAAGTGCACCGAGGACGAGATAGCCTCCAGATGTGGATAGCCTCCTCATGTTGGTCTCCGCCCAAATCGACGAACAAGGTCGTCGTGACTGTCCTGACACGTCGCGACGAACCTATAGTCTCTAAAGAATGTTGAAGATATAATCAGATTACGGTGGATGGATTAGGTGGATTAGGTGGATATAATCCTAATCCACTAACCTAGTCTCTATAGATTAGGATGGATTAGGCGAATCAGCTGAGCTTCTCGTGAACCCAGCTGACTCGACCATTCTCGTGTCACCTCAGGATGGTGAAGTCATGAAGTCATGTCCGGCGCAAGACGTGAGCCGCGTCTGCCACGTCTGAAGTCATGCTTGGATCGAGCATGCAAAGCGGGAGCTCCGGCGCTCTCCTGGTGATTCCTTTGTTTTCCTTGGCAAAGCTTCCGTCATCTTCCATCCACTCTAATCCGGTGTCTGGGCAGGCTTAATCTGATCGACTTTTGCGACAGATTTGTAGAGGTCCATTGTCTGCTGCGTGGTCCGTCTTTCACGTCGAAGAGCGGGTCGCGTCATCACATCCGTGGCTTTGCAGAGGTTTCAGTGAATCCGGAATCAGGCGTGATGGAATAAACATGGTCACGACCTAAAATCCTATACCAGCAGTCACAAAGGGGTGGTGTTTAGTCCTTAAGTGAGTGGATAATGGGCACCCCTGACCTCCATTAAGCTGCTGGTAGATGCAGAGTTCGGGTGGCTCGACGTTGAGAACTGAGGTCGCTTGTTGCCAGCGACCTGCGACATGTTGCCGGACCTGCGACAGGGTTTTTGGTCATCGACACATGCGATAACTATCTTCAAACAGGTAGTTACCTGGATGCGTATGGATGCTTGGTGACCTCTTCACCACCCATGGACTAGTAACAAGGTGCCTTACTACTAGTAAGTAGTAAGGACGCTACTAGGGTGGAGGCCATCGCTATTAGGTTGGAGGCCAAGAATCTACTGGGTTGCTTACTTGTTACCAGTATAGCTTCTTGTTACTAGTAGTAATGCCAGGAGCTACTAGTGGCGTCGATTTAAGGATTTTCTTATGCTCACTGTGGGAACACCATATGCCACCGTCTGCGTGTCGGTTCCTAGGCTGGACACCGGTTCAGAATGCTTTCCCACGGAGGACGTGCAGTTCCGGTGGCAATTCTATCCATGGTCTTATACTTAAGACTCAGGGAACGCCATTACCGCATCTGCCGCGTTACAAAGGTTGCCTGGAAGGCTTCCATAGGCAAGGCATGCATATATGAGCCTTGGACACACGTTGGATTAGCCTCGTCCTGCACTCGACGCGGTAGACAATTCTACCATACTTCGACCGGTCTTTTTCTGGAGATGTGTCGGGAGCTCCCAAAACTGAAGTGAAGCTTGCAACACCTTGGCCTCATCCAAGAGAACAGTTTTAGCTGTATCGTCGGCAAGTTGTTCTTCAAACGCATATTCAGCAAGTCGTACTGCCATGGGCAATGGCAACCTCCTTCAGAGTGAATCCCTTCCAAAACGTGAGAGCGGCACCACAAAAGTCGCAAAGTGGAAAATGTTGCATCTATCAATCACATATTTATATACTTCGGAAAATAGACCAATCTACCGCCCGTTCAACCAGCGTGTTTCACTGTTGCACCTATTCATATTGATGGATGACCTGTCTCGGTTCCCGTCTCCGGTCATCCAGGCAAGGCTCATACTTCGTGAGCGCCGGGTTCATCCAGGGCTGCCTGGGGCAGGAAGGCTTTTCATTCACCTTACTCATCAGTTCTTCTTGAAAGGTCTCGACATCAGTTCTTCTCATTCACCCTGTTGGCTGTGGATCATGGCTAAAAAGAAACAACACCAGCGAACGACCTACCGAATGGTCATTCGCAGCATGGACCCACGGCCGCGCTCCAGGTTGTTTTGACCCACGGCCATGCTCCAGGTGTTGTGTGAGACTTGCCACATCTTGCCACTTGCTAAACATACCAGGAGATCCCACTGTTGATCATGTTTGATCCCACTGTTGATCTCACATCAATGTGATAATCTTTCAGTCAAGGCATGACTGCTTGGCTTCGTGTTCTAAAAGTGGAAGGAAAAAACACCTCCACCAGTTGCTGACCAGTGAAAGATGGGGCGAGTGTTCCATGAAACATCTGCCAACACCACTGGATATTCTGTTTTATGGGTCCAGTTCAAGGTAAATGATTCAAATTATGTATGATTCTAAAATGCTTCAGATCCAACAACACGTAGAGGTAGCGGTTTCTAGACACTCGATCCATCTTGGATTCCCTTGGATGTGTTGAACTCCAAGTCAACAGGACAGGAATCTTGTTTGGAATGGTCAACGGAGCTCCATGGGCCCTTAAACCATTGATCGTCATGATTCGTTTGAGTGCGTAGCTCAAATAGGGAAACCTGCCAGGCAACAACTCCCTATATAAAATAGATCGAGTTAAATACTTAAAACAATTGGGGGGTCTCCCTAAGTAAATACAAGCCTACGTACGAGTATATGTCAACCACCTTCTGGAAATGATCCCAAGGAGCACGCGGGCGCACCCCCCCCGGGTGTCCGGCTGGACCCTTCGTTCCCAATACAGACATAGGCGGGATGGGCATTTTCCAGCTCCGAACGTGTCACGGAGGAAACCGGTCTTCCAAGCAACACCCGTTCAGAACTGCAAGCCTGTTGAGGCTGGCCCTCAACAGAAGACACACCGCGAATCAGCAAAGAATTGGTGATATCTTAAAGAAAAGAGTTGTTTAGTTTGTCCTTTTTTAAACGTTTATCAACAACTAGCAAGGGGTTGGAGAACTTCCCACACTTCCCTGGGAGGGATCCGAGTTCGAGCTCCCTGTTTCATGGGGAAGAATGGGATTGGATACCCTCCCCCTACACCGAGCAGTAGCTCCCGTATCGCTTCGCTTCCCTCGCTCCCGTTCTTCGGCTTGCGACCTCGCAACAGCAAGACGGGAGCTACTGTATCTATACCTATAGAACATCCTAGGAACCTGATGGACCCCCGTTAAGGAGCCAAAACGTGGTCTTTTCCTATCAAAACAAAGGTCATGTGGTCGGGCCAGCCCGAGAAGGGAATGCTCCAAACCCTGCCTGGTGGACCTGGCGGTCAACCGGTCGGTCTGGTTGCACCCAAAGGCCCCAAAGTCTCGATTTAAGAGGGTCTTGACGTATCTAAGACGTATAGATACGTATCTAAGTTACGTAACCTAAGATGTAACTTAAGATGTACTTGCAAGGTCTTCTCTATCAGGAGAATGACTCAAGCGCACAGCGATCGCAGCATTCGCTGTGAGCGATCGCGAGCACTAGACCGCCCGTGTGACCTCACCGACTGGGCGAAGAAAACAATAAACGTCCGTCCCGGCAAGGCGCTTGGAATTGTAGACCATCTTCACATCGTCTGGGATGGTCTCCTAGCAGGGATGGTGAAATTCATGTTCCCGACCAGTCAACATGGACCCAAACCCAGACACGACCTGCCTGGGACTAGCATATTTACATCCATTGACCTCCTTTTCAACCACCCCTGGCTTGATCGGCGGTCCGGACTGCCAGTCCCAAACAAAACAGGTCGTGTCTGGGAATTGGGTTCCAAAAATCTGAACCAGCAGTCTCAAAGGGGTACTTGTTTGGAGGTTAGGGGTGTCTACGATCCACGGCCCCTGGATGGGACGAGCCACACCACCCAACTCCATGCAACACCTGAAGGTTGAGTATTCCAATGATCCGCCCCATGCCACCACACCCCCAATATGCTGTAACTATGTAACAAGTGTAAAGAGTAAAGAGGACGTCGTTGTTTTCCAGGCCGCTTTGGGGTTCCCAAGCTGGGCTTCGAAAGTTGTGTCAAAAGCGGCGGGCTTAAATCAGCTTAACGCCTTGGTGGCACAGATGTCACGATCTGTTGCAGCGAGTCCTCACGCAGGTGATACCCTGGCATACCAATCGATCAGGGGCTTGGTCACAAGCCAAGCACTGGCCAGTCACTATCACTGAATCACGGATTGACGTGAACCGTGATGAACTTTTCGAGTCCCCCATCCTGCAGCAAGTTGCCAAAAAAATAAGATCATGGATGTCTTTTTTTGTGTCCATGATGTCTTCTTAGGTAAGTCTCAGAAACGGATGCGATGGGTTGCAAAAGAGTACCGCCAAATGCGTAGTTCCAATATGCCACTTAAGTAAGCTTGGTTGCCCTTGAAGACTACTTGAGGCCAGAGGGGGTGAACGAAAGCTAGCCGGGCTTCCGGTGGTCTGCTGCTGGTGCTGCTGCTGCCGCTGCTGCGCTGGGCGCTGCTGCGCTGGGTGCTCTGCAGGCGCCGGGTCGTCTGCTGCTGCTGCTGCTGCTGGCGCTGGGTGGTCTGCTGCGGCTGCTGCTGCCGCGGCGTTGGGTATGCTGCTGCTGCTGCTGCCGCCGCTGGGTGGTCTGCTGCTGCTGGTGCTGCTGCTGCTGCCGCTGCTGCGCTGGGCGCTGCAGATGCTTGGTGTGCTGCAGCTGCTTGGTGGTCCCGCTCACCGCGCGCGAGGGGGAGTCGAACCGCGGGGGGGGGGAGGTCCATAAGATTGATTTAATCAATTATTTGAGGTTTCTGAGGTGCGTCCACCCCGTCACTTAACTTGCTAAAGCAAGAGCAACTCCAGCTAGCTAAGGCTAGCTTTCGTGACCTGTCGGATTTTGGGGAAACCAATGCCCCCAGTGGTAGCTTTGGTCCCCAAACAGGATTGTACCATTGCCCGTCTACATGTTCTACGTGGGGATAAACCGAACTTCTATGACAGGAGGTCGAACTCCAAGGTGAACGACTTCATAAGACAAGGACTTCCCTTTTGGGCCCTTTGGACCCCCGCACTGACTCAATCATACTGAATGGAAAAGAGCCAGATTCCACCACGGGACACAGATTCCGCCGGTTGCACTAAGATCTGAAATATTGATTTCATTGGCTCGTGTTACATTCTCATGACACATTGACCGAGCAGAATTGCGATCTCGTTTCCGGCAGTTTCTTCACGTTCAGATTCAGCAACATCTTCTTGCTCCACCTCGTCACCCGGTCGACATGAGCGTCACCCGGTCGCGTCGCCCGGTCGCTGCCCACGGACCCACGTGCCCGGCGCCGCGGTCGGTCGGTCGAATGCAAAGGCACCTCGAAGGTCACGATGGCCTTCCTGAGGGCGATAGGAAGACCACGTGGATTTCCACGGTTGAAACCATCCATCGCCAGAAATCCGCCGTAAGCATCACATTGTTTCGGGCAGCAAATTCCATCCAACTCCACAAGATTCTTCGGTTCTGCAAGACTGCTGGCATTTTTGGCTTCTCTGGTGCGCGTGAGTGGCATTTACAGTGATTTATCCAAACCAAAACCCTAGACTTCCTGGCCCACCGTTGATTTACTACCCTGAATCCCGATCAACCATTGACCATTGTTTCACTAAAGGATCTTACACTATGACACTAGGTAAGCCCAATTCTTAAACTAAATTGTCGAACAAAAACCTAGGGAAACAGTTGCTCTTTTAACGGTGTCTGAAAAAAAATAACTATTACACAATACGCGCCATCTACTCTGAAACCGTTCAGTGTATTGTCATGTGTACGGGATCTGGATTTGAACCAGCCAACCAGTCTTTAGGTTTTCAAGTCCGTCTTCTCGACGTTGCATAGAGTGAATCCCAACTCAACATTGCAGTATTCAGGGACAAACTGTCTTTGATGTGCATTCCTAGGCGTATTAAAGAGATCCTTTCATTTGTCCGAGGGTTATGAAGTTATGATGTCTTGTGTGAAACAATTTCCTGAAAGTCATTTAGGGATGTTTAGGTCGTTTCAATATCTTGGCACAGTACTTGTAAAAGAAGCCCAAGCGCAACTTCAGCAGTGCAATACGTTTTGTACTGTCGGGGGAGGCACTTCCTCAAACGTCTCCGACCCCCTCGCCACCCCATGTGACGGTCACTCCCAAAGAATGTCAAAGGGTATACTTCCTTGGCATCACCAAAGATAAGGGTCACTATAGTGAGTCGGTTAAGCAATTTTAAAGAAAAAGACAGAACACAAACTGTGCCTCTTCAATCAGAGAACCATCAAACAGAAAAACAGAGACTTTCCGGAGAAACTGTCTTGTTGGCATACTGAGTATAGGACCCTCCATCCGTGCTTCTCCCACCAACCGGTTCAGGTCTCCGCTCCCGGAAGTCGCCAAGCATCTTGTAGGAGGGGCCATTCTTATAGTAGTCCCCGAAGGAGTTCCGCCGGATCATGGGAAGCTTGATGTAGGTATTCACCTCTCTCAATTTGTTCTTCCAAGTGAATGAACGGAACAATTGGCACCATGGATGTCTCTTCAAAAGTTCGACCTACCCCCAGACATTCCAAGATTCCTTCACCCAAGGGAACGAAAGAACGGTTGCCCCGATGGGCTGTAGCAGTACCAAAGTTGCACAAACAAACATTGACAGGTACTGCTGCACCACATGGCAAAGCCTATACCTGGACCATCCTGTCTGGGTGTCCTGGCTGGGGGACCCTTAGAAGTGAAGGGTATTGCCTTGGACACCCATTACATGGTCTTGGTAGGTATCTAGAGAATGGATTGAATTGGACAAACTCATTAACTCATCGCAAAGCCGTTTGACCGAGAAACCTATAGCCTTGTAAAGCAACATAGATGCACACTGGAGACTGCCACTTCCAAACAACTATTGTGTTGCCAAGAGCAGGGGGCCCCAGATCCAAGAAGGGGCCCAAGGAATCCCAGGCGAGCCACTGTGCCCCATCACAAAGCACTTCCAACACCCAAAGTCTTGAAGTACGTGCTTGAGGAACACTTGGGATACATGTTGCGCGCAAGAAACATATCGGCAAGATCCACTGCACCAACGTGTTGCATGGACATGGATTCCATAAGGAACACTTGGAACACTTGGACAATGACTCCATCATAAGGCAAGGAACACTTGTGTTGCATGGACATGCCAGGACTCGGGTGGTTTTCCATGGTTTTCCCTCAGACTGCGTTTCGGTGGAGAAGGTCCCGCGTTTCCTGCGAACTGCAGCGTCCAAGGATTCTGCTCGAGGTTGGCGGCCGTTCTGGTAAAAGAAGAAACGACCCGGCCCCCACGGCGTTCTCAAGGCGTTTCAGGTTGATCCGCCGTTTTTCACCGGTCTGGTCATGTGTTCTCAAGGGATCGCACGGAGTCGCAAGGAATTCCAATGCCGCAGGGATTCCCAATCGCCTAGGACTCCGAACGCCCCAGATCCTCAGGTTGGGTGGTTAGACCCTCCTGGCCCCCACCCCAACCATCTTCTCAGGAGGTGGTTGGAGCCCTAGGGTTCTATAACTTTCCGTCTTCCACGGCCCCCTGAGGCCGGGTAACATGTGTGTGTTGGGCAACTAGCGCAAGGGATAACTAGCAACTCAGGGTCCAAACTCTTCGTGGATGGCTTCCCATAGAACGACCATGGCAGTTTTCTTTCGGAATCGCTTGCAGGTCAGTTGGATCGCATTTCACTGGAGTTGGTCCAGATACCAGAAACACTGCGTCTTCGAAACACTACTGGTTTCACTGGAGTTGGAGTTGGAGAAAGCAGTTGGATCATATACCAGAAACATCCAGAAACACGGCGGCTTTCAGGATCGACGGGTCGACCGGACCGACGGTGGTGTTGAGACTTGGGGGGTCCGGACCAAATCCCCCCTCCTTTCGTGAGATCCAAAAGGAGCTAGCCAGCCTCTATAGATCTAGAGGTCTAAATTTTGGTCTAGAAATCCAGAGGATCTAATGGTCTAATGATCTAGAAAAGGATCCTATAATGGTCTATAATGGTCTAGAAATTAAATTCAGACTGGTCGTGGTCTCGCAAATTCCGGCCTTGATGACTTTCGCCTTGTAAATCTGGCAGATCGAGGACGACGACGCGGATCGGGAGCAAGCGGACCAAAGCAGCGTCGCCGTTGTCTGAGTGACTTGGTCTTGGTGGTCTTGGTGGTCTACAGGGCGGGTGCAGTGATGTCCGTACTTGGGAAGAATGGAGGGGTCAGTTATACTGACAGTTATGGTCAGTTTGTACCATTTACATATTGGTTGTGCACGAGGTCCCGCGGGTATCCCCTCGATCTCTCAATCAACCAACAAATAGTAAAAGGCCCGGGCGGATGGTGTGAATCCAAACGATCCAAGGCCACTGAAGGCAGGCGGAGAAGGATGGGAGCGAACATGCCCGATGAAACGCCCGATGGAAGGGAACATGTTCAACTGCCTCGTCTTGCGGGTCAGTCTTGGGGTTATACCCGCAGCTGTGAACAAACAAATAGGACCAATACGGACCAATATACTATATCGATCTATATGGCTCTTCACGGCTCTAATGTGGGTCAAACCTAAACAGTACAACACACAGAACTAGGCGTTGATGCCCGTCATGCCACCACCAGTCATGGCTTCCCTTGTATTTCGCTTCAGCGGCGCCTCGCGCAAGTAATTCTGGATCTCCGGCTTGGTCAAATGCACCTCGACCGTCGACGGACACGAGAAAATAGAAGCCATCTGTGACTCGAGCCGTCCAACAGGTCTCGTTTCCAGAAATTTCTGCGAATTTGTGGGGGATCATATGGGTGTCCACTTGTAGTTTAGTATGAATCTGTGTTCATTCGTCTTCTTTTTTGGTATGATCTCTCGCACATGGGGAGATGGTACCCAAGGGAACCCTCTGTACTGCTCTGTGAAGGCCCACACTGTTGAAACCTCCGAGGAGTGTTAAAGGGTAAGAGTGCACCTGCTTTGACCACTGAGAGTGCCAAGACTGGATCATACTGGATACCTTCCATCTGGAACAACAGTTAACCCGGCAATCTAACATGAATCCTCTGCATGACACACGACTCTATGTTGACTTGATCAAAGTCAGCAACCTCCTTAGTCACTAGTCTCTTCCCAGTTCGCTCTCAGAGTGCATACGGAGTGTCCTACTTTCTGATGCGTCCTTTCCATCCTCACGTTACATTGTAATCCAATTAAACGTTCTTGATGAAAACAGACAAGTCGACGTCTTGGGAAAAAAACACCTGGCCGTCACTCACGGCAGGTCTGGGTCGTGCCTACAGCCTCCGAATCGATGTCCACTCCGAAAGACTCCAAAAGAATCCAAACAACACACGTAGGGACTCCAAAAACGGTCCCTTTGAAGAAGCTGGACTATGCCCGTGCCCATTGATTCAAGTAGAGCATTTCTGCTACTTGGAAACGGCCTGCTATGAATCCTCATCATCATTTCCTAGAATCAACTTGAGATTCAACCCCTCTTGCACAACAAAAACGCCCATCGGTCGTGAATCGAACCACCAATTCTTTTACGCCCCGTGTTTGTTCACCTATGACGAGCATGAAATTAAAACAGGTCCAGTCTGACCTTCAGTCTGACCGCCAGCTGCAGACTGCAGGTCTCTGCCGGTCTCCGCAGGTCTCCCGCGTCTGGGTCAGGTCTCCGCACGGGGACCCGGAAGGCTGCGCGGTTCGGCTCCAAGTAGGTGCCGGTCTGGTCGGCTCCGCGGAGAGAGCGCCGAGGAGCGCGGACAGGAGAGGCTGAAAACGAGCCACATGTAAAAAGTCACGGTTCACTGTACCGGTCACGAACTGAGAGCGCGTCGAAGATCACCACCATATCCAAAACGATGCGCCTGCCACGAAGTCTGCACTTCGAAGTAACACCGCTCCGATCCCTTGCACCTGTCACGAAAAGTCGAATGTGGACCCCCAAAACACAAGGTTTCCCTTGCGTCTGCGACGAAAAGTGACTACCTTGCCCAAAAATGCGCACGGCACCACAACGAGAGGGCAGTGGCGACAAGCACCCGCCACGGACACCCAGATTTTGCGAGCCTGCGCAGTCGAAATGCACTTCGAGGATTTCGAGAGGCATGAACAAACAAAAAAGCGCGACACCTCGATTAGACACCGGCCCTTAACTATTACCGTAAGAACTCCTAGTGTGACCACACTGTTTGGAGAAAAACTGAAGATTTGGATTTTGAGAGATGTGGGATGATCTGGGTGGGCTTAGAGCTTCCACATCTGTGATATGACTGGATCTCTTCGCTCTTCTTCCACCACACTACTTTTAATCTACCTCAAAGCTGAGCAAAGACAGCAAGTTCCTGTCAGTACACTCAAAGAAAAACAGATTTGTACCATGAAGTTCCGTGAAAATGGAATGGAAGGAACAGTTTTCCCCGTTGTGGAACGTCTAAGGACATTGCCTTCTGACCATTGACCCCGCCAGCCTTCGCCATGATGAAGTTGAACCATGGGAAGAAGACGTTCCTAGCGACGACCAGTGCGCGTCTTTCCATGCAAACAGCACTGAGACAATCCACCTGGTGGACAGATCCCTGAACGGGGGGGCCATAGGACCCCCTTGGGCGGGCGGTGTGCTCGTGATTCACTCGCAAGGACGCAGCCTTAGCTGACATCTAGGGAGCATCAAGCAGCATCTCCAAGAGTGCCATCCTCCATTTGTCCGGTGGGCCAGTGGAATCCGCAGAGCAACGACCAAAAAGCACATGAACTGCAAAAAGAATACGATCCCATATGTAACATGTAGAATTGAGAGACTGTACACAGATTTCTCGTTGTAGGGTTGACAAGCAGCTTCTTGCAGATCTGACAGGAGACAATTCACTTGGTTTTGAAGAAAAGGTCCCAAGGTCAAAGCTCAGGGGTGTGTGAGTCACTTGACTTTTTGAGACATTGACCACCTACCCAGGCCCAAAGCCCTTGCTTTTCTTCCATCTCTCCAAGCTACAAGGTCAGTTCAGCACCCTCCCACTTTGCCAAGGCTCCAACCTTCTGGACTCCAACGAACTAAACAATTACATACAAAAGTGTAGTGTTTTCAGAGCAGATGGCACCCCAAAAATGTCTTCGAGATGGGATCCAAATAAACGTACATATTGGACCATGTTGGGCATTGTCCCATCTACTGTGCTTTTTCAAGACCAGCTAAGACCCCACGAACATCCACCTTATCAGCACGGCACATTTCCGCTGCCCCCAAAAATCCAAGCGCCGCCCACCCGGCTGCGGCCCAAACCGCCGCCCCGCTGCGAACTGCGGCCCATGCCCGGGGGTCCCGGTGCCTGGGGCTCTTCGGGGGCCCCAAGAGCCGCCGCGACAGGAACATCGCTCCCTGCGCCGCGGTGCGTGGGCTCGCGCGGCACGGGCGTGCGTTTCCGGTGTTTAGGGCGGCAGGACCGATGGGTTTGGGTTCCAAAAAAAAAAACTGCCGGTGGAACTGGAACATGAAGGTGTATATCCATCGGAAAATGAGTTGACCAGGAGAGCAATCCTCCTCCCCCAAAATAAGCTTTGAACAGGTGATCTATCCTTAAAACAAGAAAAGAAAACAACATGAAACTACCACGTACCACATCTTACCACTATGAAACTCCCACATATGGCACCAGCTTCGCCAAATCGGGCACCTGCTTCAATCGTGGGCGTTGTCGGACGTGCGTTTACGCCACCTGAAGGTGACCTGAAAATGGTGGACAACCCTCACCGAAGGACGATCCTCTACCTGGACCCTCCTGTCGGGTGTCCTGGCTGGACTACCCCACACTACCTATATAATCCTATATAGGCTTCCAGACAGGGCACCCCGACTGGAGGGTCCTGGTAGAATGATGATGGATATGTTGGGTCGTGAAATGGCCATCTCCGATTTCGGGGGGACGTGCTCGGATCCGTAAGGATGGTTTTTCTTCTGCTGGACGTCATTCCTGGGAGCAGGGAACATATATGCGAGACAATCCAAAAATATGACAGGACAGGTCAGGTTCATCTTCTATCAACTCCAGGATGCTTGTAGTTCTGAACATTTCGAGCGAAGTGTCTGCATTCCTGTGGACGAGTTTCACCGGATTTCGTCCAAACAAACACCCAGTCGCCCCGGGGCGAGTCGAGCAGCCCAAATCACCTGAAGGTTGTTTTTTTCCGCTTTGCCCATGTAACTAGGGATGTGAGTATCCCTGGCCCTTTGTGTGTGTCTAAGCGTCGGCTTAGACACATTTTGGATATGTTTGGACTACTCCAACAAACCGTGATAAAACAGTGGAACAAAAAAACAAACACACTTCCTCACTGCCCCAAGTGCCTTGCAGATTGCCTAGTGCCTTGCTGGAATCGCCATCGAAGCTGCATCAGCTGCTCTGTGTGACGTTGGTGATGCTGAGCTGGACTTGGTGGAAATAGACCAGCTACGTCTGGAGTGATCCAAAGCACCAGGAGAAAGTGAGGAAGCAACAAAAACGCGATGTTCATCGTGCTTGTCCTTGTCTAAAGAGAATGAGACGGAATGAGGCTTAAAGCAATGATATTTGGAACCAGTCCCCCATGACACGGATGTACGCATCCAAGACGTGGAATGTACTATGCATGCAATACTAGGTATAGTAACCTTTACAAGAACACGATGCACCTGCAGCGTATGTTCAAAGCTATTTACTGTCGGCACGTATACGTGATATGTGACATCCATATCAGTTGACTACGAGCAGAAAATCCTCAAAAGATATGACAGGACCCTCCTGGCAGCCTCCCCCAGTCTCACCTTCTCAGAGGGTACTTGGACTTCCTTGGAGCACTAGGGGACAGTGCTCTCAAATCCAAACATCTTCTCTCTCTGCTCGACCCGATGCGCACACGACCCCAAGCCCCTCTTCTAGAACAATCTGTACTACATGGAGAACATCCCTGTCACACAGTCAAGTTCAAGCCGCAGAAACCACAGATCCAAAGATCAGTCTATGTGTCTCAAAGTCATCTTGATCAACAAGATCTCTGGATCTTGCGTAGGGCTGTTGATGGAAGATCCATTCGCAAAACGGCCTGCTCCCTTTACAACCAGCTACGACAATGTTGTCCCCAGGCCTAGTATTGACAGGGTCATCCTTTCTGAGAAGGTACTTGGATCCCTAGGGAAGAGTTGTTGATGGTTCACCCCAGACGCCCTACACAGCTGGAAGTGTTGCGAAGAATTACAGATATCGTCACCATCGTCGTCGACGCATGTCCACTCACATCTCCGCTCGCGCAGCCCATGTCACGCTCCCTTTTTGAAAGTCTTGCACAGATCGAATTTGGGATGGAAAACGGTGCGTGGCCGGTCAGCAGCTCAACACATCAAGAGACAGAACGATGTTGATGTCATTTCTTGACCGAACTCTTGCGCTTGTACGACACTCTTGAGGGCTGCGTCGGCGCAATGACCATGCCATCTTGAGCAATGGTGGGCGAAGGCACACCATCGATGCAGTCCTCAGCGCGTCTTCGGCATCGATGGATGGGAAGATGGCATGGGATCAACAGAAGTCAACTGTCAACTGTATCCTATTCCCTGTCACAGTGGGTGATGATGGTTCAGGTGCAGGCCTTGCTGAAACAATGATAATTAATTTATTGCCTGTTACAGGTAGTAGGACACTCCCAAAGTCAAAGTCCACTTTTCTTCTGCTCAGCAGAGTCTTCACTAGGTCAATTCTTCCGTTGATTTTGTTGAAGTGGAGGTAAAGAACCTGCCTGCGTCCCTTTCAGCATCCAAAAATGGAGCAAAAAGGTGTTGTTTTTCATGTGAAGCATCATCCATGATCGTCCCACATTCTGTTTGAGGATGACCTGACCCCTTGTCCTATCCCACTTTGGATCCGGCTCGGAGGTCTCGGTTCGTGCGTCGCCTATGACCGTGAGTCCAGTCTCAGTTCGTGCCGGACCATGGGCAGAAGATGATCTGTACCGATTTACGTGCTTTTTTTGATCGGATCATGGGTCATGGGTCATGGGATGGGTCAGAAAAGGTCCATCTTTCCAACTATCTCGATCGTGAAGGTCACCAGTTTGCGAAGGTCACCCTCCGTCTGAAGGGGATCCAACTCGAGAGCTCCCCCTTTCGTGGAACCACTTCTCCACACTGCAGGGGGGGGTCCCCAGATTTCTGGGTTGTTGGACTAGCAGGGGTGGCAATAGCAAATTCCCAGGCGCTGATGTTCATCAGTGACACTCTTTCTTGTCGTTCATCGTGCGGATGGCCCCAAGTTCGGGAGGACCATGTTCCAAATATCCACAAATAACAATCAATCCCAGACACTCCATAAGACTGCCATAATATATATGCTTACATTGGGGTGGTGGTTTGGGGGGTCAATTAATTGGCATATATGGCAGTCCCATGGAGCGTCTGGGGAATAATCAATTGGTTTTCCCAGCTATAGCGTAGAGGCACTGGTGTAGAGGCGTATTGATGATGACCTCGTCAAACACTTCCTAACTTTGGTGTCCCTTCTCCTCTTCAGAAACTCTTGGCTTTTGATGGCTTTAGTGTCCCTCGTCAGAACTTCTTAATGGTGTCCTGTGTGGTAGTCCAAAAACCGTGTCCTTTTCTCAGTTCTCTCTTGGCTTTTTGGTCCTTCACCTCGCACGAACGCGAAAAACGAGCGGCTTCACGCCCCGCCGCACCGTTCGACGGGCTCCGAGCTCCGCGGGAAAAACGCGTTCCGCGATCGTTTCTCCCAGCGTCGATGTCGTAGTGCCGCAGCCTCAGGAAACGTCTGCTTCTTCCATTCGTGTTTTTTCAGGTCCCTTGATCCCCTGATTGCTTCGATCACTGAAAAACCGAAAAGAAAAAAGGCCTGGTCAGTGACAGTCAAACCATTGGTGTATTTATGGGTGTATTTATTGGTCAATAAAAAAACTGCCGGGTGTATTTATGGGTCACAAACCATTCACAAAAACCCAGTTTCTAAGGGTGAGCAACTCACGTTCCGAAGAAGTGGTCGCTCCGGTCGCACCGAGTCCGGAGCAATTCCGCCGGGGGGTTCGATCCTTGGGTGATTGGTGGACGTCAACGAAGAGAGTCAGGCACTCCAATGTGGGCCCACCAACCAAGACCAAGACCTATCTTAAATTCATATGCAATGTGCCCATGCGGCACGTGTCCAAAACTCATCAAAGCTGTTCAGTCTCTTGAAGAAAGAAGTCGCTTTGGAGAAGCTGACACATGGGAAAAGGACAGTAAACTCATGTCAAAGCGTCCAATGGATCAATCATGTTCCTCTACAAACACCAGTGACTGGTCACCAGTGGTTCACTTCAAACTGTCCGTGATGACTTCAAACCTATTGGATCGTTCGCGCCGAACATCCGGGAGCTCCTCCTCCGGGAGCTCCTCCTCCAACGACCCCCGCAGTGCCCAGTGGCATGTGCGAGATGGCCTCGGTGGTGAAGACGCGAGGGAGGGCGCCGTGGACACCGCGCTGGGAGCTCAGACCACGTGGCATGGGTCATGTTCGTGGGGTCATTGACATGGTACACTCCTTGGAATCATCTTGGTTTTGTGGAGTGAAAAACCACCAGTCTGGTAATATATGGTAGCAAAGAACCCTCTCGTGTGATGAGTTGATGTGTAGAGGCATGATCGATGAACTTCGATGATCGTGAGCCCTTTTTTTTTGAGTTCAAAAGAAAAAGGAGCGAAACGGATTTCGTTCACTGTGGGTTATGAGCCCAAAGTGACGCGTTTTTTCCACTGACGCGATGTCGGATCCTAGCGAGAAGACGCCTGACTCCTCAGGGCCCAAGGCTCTTGAGGATATCCAGCCGGAGCATGGAGCACTGGTTGGTCCTGTGGGGCCACCTATAGCATATGGCCCGAATGTCAACCCGTTTTGGAGTGAATCTGCACGGGAGGAAGCAATCCTTCGAGCATGTAGACCTGCTCATTTGCCCCGGGAAGGGACAGAGGGTTTCCCACAGATGGCGGCCTCGTCAAGCCCACCGAGAGACCCGCAGCAGGAAGCTGTGAAAGCCATGGTTCAAGGACTGATGCAAGAAAATGCACGCCTTTGGTCAGAGCGAGAGGCGTTTGCGATGAGCCAAGCATCTTGGCTTCCCCAACCTCCTATGTATGGAGCTTCGCAACCGTGGCTTGGCGGGATGGCTGGAGAGGGTCAAGGTTATGAGCGAAATCCCATGGGAGCGGTGATCGACGTGTTGAAGTCGTCGTTGAATGCCATGTCACCTCACAAAGAGTCTGGTTTGCTTGGTGCCTTGGCTCCACCGGTCGATCGTGGGGCAAGTTTTCCTTTTTCCCAACTTGGTCAAGGAGCTCAGAGTGGTCAGGGTGCTTTTTCAAGAGGTAGCTTGATGGAGTTGTTCAACATGGTGTCGGGTGGTGCATGTACTATGTCACGTCCTTCACCAGGGGGGTGGAACAATGCGGCTCCGGGAAGCTCGAGGGAAGGAAGGCAACCTTCGGGTCACTCAGGGGCAAGAGAGACTGGTGGCGTGGGACCTGGCACGGGAGGTCAGGATTCTCTCCCTCGTGAACCTAGAGAAGCACGGGAACAACCAGCTGGGCAGACCAATGGTGAAGGGGAAGGTGGAGTTGATGGAGGTGCATGTGTATCACGCGGTGATCCTCACGGTCATGGAGGGGGTGCTAACAGTCCCGGAAGTGCTAATCTTCCAGGAGGGTGCCAACTTCAGGGTGTGCCTGGAGGGAGTGGTTTCCCCGGTGGTGCCGGTGGGCAGTGGAATGGTGGTGCACCTGGTGGTGGCGGTCTTCCTGGTGATGGCCATCATGGTGGGGGCTTGCCTGGAGGAGGTCTTCCTGGTGGTGGTTTTCCTGGCGGCGGTTTTCCAGGAGGAGTGCCGGGTGGAGGTCTTCCTGGGGGTGCGCCTGGCGGTGGATTTCCAGGTGGAGGGTTTCCGGGAGGTGGAGCGCCAGGAGGAGGTGGATTTCCTGGTGGACCTCCTGGAGGAGGTTATCCTGGCGGCCCTGGTGGTGGTGCTGCAGCCTTTCCATTTGGACAGATGCCGGCGTGGCTTGGTGGTCTCATGGCTCAGCAAGAGTCAGTTCGGGCAGTTGACCTACCCTTGTTACCAGAGCTGTCGGAGTCGGAGGTGGGGCCTTTGGTAGCTGGTGATTGGATGACCACAATTGGACCCTTCTTGAGAGACATGAGCTCGAGCTCATCATTGTGGTGGGATGAGGTGTTGAGGGTCGCCGGAACTCTTTACAGAGTGTGGTTGGGGTCAGAACCTATGGAACGTCTTCGTTTGGCACCTGTTTCCCCTCCGGCTTTCCAGGTGGCTCCCTGGCTGAGAATTGAGCAGAGGGGGTCGGTTGCTTTGCTCAAGGCCCTCCCTGAGTCATTGAGATCGGAGTTGGTGGCGCAGAGGGAAGTGAGCTCCATTGGCATTATGTTCAAGGTGCTTCGCGTCTATCAACCTGGGGGCCTTGGAGAACGCACCACGCTTCTCAAGCAGCTTGTCGATCAGAAGATCCCGGTTCCTTTGAGTGAATGGATGGTGGCATTGCGTTCCTGGCGGCGCTGGCTGACAAGAGTTCAAGAACTTGGCATTCAACCGCCTGATCCAGTCCTTTTGTTGTCGACTATGGATAGGTTTGCAGCAGGGCTGGCTAAGCACTCACCTCAGGTCGCTTTCAGACTGCAAGTCACTCGTGCTGCATTGAGGGTGGACACGGCTCCCACAGAGCAAAGCATTCAACAATTCTCAGAGTCCTTGTTGGCAGAAGGTGAGGCGGTTTTTCATGGAGGATCCAGCTTGCCAATCAAGGAAACCGTGAAGGTGAAAGCTTTGGATGGTGATGGACCTGCAACCAAGGAGGATGCGGGAAAGAAGGACAAGAAGGACAAGACCAAGGAAAGCAGTGAGACAAAGGAGACCCGTGATGGGAAGGAGGGGAAATCTGGCAAGAATGGTGGTGGGAAGGGCGATGACAAATCCTACTCGTCCGACAAACCTGTTTGCCGTTACTTCCTCTCAGATTCGGGTTGCAAGAAGGGCCAGACATGCACTTTTCCTCATGAGTGGAGGGGCGTGTCGAAGCAGGGCCGATGCTGGAACTGTGGCTCTACACGACATATGAAGCCGGATTGCCCTGTCAAGGAACAGCCGCATGTGAAAAGGGGGATTGTTGATGATCGAAAGGGCAAAGAGCACGAAGTGAAGTCCGGGGAGAAAAATGGTCAGTCTTCGTCTGGGGAGAGCTTGTTTCTACCTCCTGCTGATCCAGAAGCTCCACCGGCTGAAGCACTTGTCAAGGAGGCGGTGCAACTTCTGAAGTCTTTGAGACCTTCGGTCAAAGCTGTGGCAATCTGCGCCGTGAACCAGGGTGATGGACACCTCAGAGCATTGCTGGATGGCGGGGCGACTCACATTTTGCGGCCTGCGAAGTCCAAGGCAGAGTTTGATCAAGCAGTGCCAATAAAGGTCGAGCTGGCTGCAGGGGTAGCCACACTTCGACAGGTACAGGCCACTGGCACGTTGGTGACTGACTTTGACACGCAGCTTATCATCCCCTTAGGCAAGGTGGTGAAACTGGGCTACAAGGTCAGCTGGGAGGGAGAAGAGTTTGAGATGCTTGATCCCAAGGGTGCCAAGGTGGAGGTTCGTTTGGAGGCTGGCTGTCCGGGGTAGCTCGCGGCTTGATCAAGGAGTTGGAAGATCAGGAGATCGAGATGAACCGGAGGGTGAGAGCGTTGAGAGCTGGAGAACCTGGAGACCTTTCACCAAACATCTGGAGGTGGCTCACTGAATTGAGGAAGTTGTGGCCGGAAGTTCCTGATGACCTTTTGGCGAGGGTGGTTCCCTCCGGAAGATGGACGGGAGAACAAGTACCCCTAAACCGGCACCAGCGAAAGCGTATCATGGACAGTGAGTCGGTGATCTTGCACCTCTTCTCGGGCCCAAATGCCTCATGGTGGAAGAAGCGCCTGGAAACCTCATCAAGGTCGGTGCTGTGTTTGGACAAGATGATTGATCCCGCTCAAGACCTCTTGTCAGATCAGCTGGTGAGCTTCCTGGCGGAGCTGTGTGAAAAGGGCACGGTTGATGCTGTCCTGGGAGGACCTCCTTGCAGAACGGTCTCGAAGCTTAGGTTTCGTCAGCCGGGACCACCTCCTCTGAGATCGAGAAATGGACCACAGCGGTTTGCTTTGGAGGATCTTTCGGATGCTTTGAGAGAGTTGGCTTTCAATGATGCAGTGCTTTGGATGAGGCAAATCTGGCTTTACTCCTTGGCAGCGGCGGCAAGATCTCGCCCAGTGATGTTCTTGAAGGAAGGAGCAGCCCCGGGACCCCCAGGAGTACAAGAGCTCCGGTGATCCAGTGGACTATCCCTCTTTCTTTGCATGGCCGGAGTGGAGGTCCTTCATCGAGAAGTACATGATTAAAGAAATTCGCCTGGATCTGGGTGCACTGGGTCATGCCCGGCGAAAACCTACGACCTTGGGAACAAACATACGCTATTTGCATCACCTTGAAGGCCTTTCGGATCGTCGTCGTGATCATGATCTGCCTGATGTGGCTGGCAGCTTGGGAGAAAGAACGGCAGCCAGTAGTCGTTCGTGGGCAGCCTGGCCTGAGGCCTTCAAGACGGAAGTCATCAAGGGCATCCTCCTGGAGTTGGAGAAGGACCAGGGCGGAGAGCACGGAAGGAAAGAACAAATGTTAGCCAAGTTGACGTCGGAGCAATGGAGACAGCACATTTTGAATGATCATCTTCCTTACTCTCGTGAGTGCTCAACGTGTCTACAGGGGAGTGGGAGAAGCCGCCCTCACAAAAGGTACCACACCCGGACGCACTCACCTTGGGGGTGGATATTTGTGGCCCGTTCAGACCTGGCCATGATCGGAGGAAGAAAGCAAAGTACTTCATGGTTGGAGTGTTTGCCATTCCTGTCAAGAAGGTGGAGGGTATGGTGTCAGCCTTGCCTTTGGCCTTGGGAGAGAAGATTGGAGGAGACCTTCAGGAGGAGGTGGCGGAAGAAAAGGATCTCCTGCCGGCCATGGAGGAGGAAGAAGTGGTTCGGCATGAAGGTGATCCCAAGGTCCTTGAGGAGTGGAAGCGATTGGAGGTGGAGTCACAGGAGATTGAAATCCAGAACTACACCATGGTGGAGACCTTAACCTCACGACAGGGGGTGGAGGTGAAATCCTGCCTGGCACGAATGGTTGCTCGTCTGAAATACCTGGGCTTGGAGGTCAGAAGGGTGCATAGCGATGGAGCAGCCGAGATGTTGGGTACCAGGAAGTGGTGTGAGGATCGGGGCATCTACCGCACCTTCACCAGTGGAAGTGATTGGAAGGCAAACGAGCGAGCTGAAGCAGAAGTCGGGGTGATTCGACGAGCTATCAACACGCTCATCAGGTCCTCGGGAGATGGTGAGGAGTACTGGCCATTGATGGCCAAGCATGTGGGTGAAAGAAGAGGCCGTCAACAACTAGCCACCTTGGGTATGGTCACACCGACGCTCATGCCTTGGGGACAGCGGGTGATGGTCACAACGAAAGGGTGGGATGATTTTCAGGGACATTGGAGATCCCGAAAGAAGCCTGGTGTCGTCAGAGGTCCAGATCCAGAGATGAGCTTGACGAGCGGAGGCCATTTGGTGGAGATGGAGGACGGCAAGTTTGTGCGCACTGATGATATGGTGGTAGCGAGCGCTCCTCCTACATTGGAAGATGTTCAAGAGGTGGTGATTAGAGAAGAACCGGCCAACTTGCTGGACAAGACGGTCAAACCCAAAAGGCGGCTGACAGAGAAAACCGCTTTGGCTCGAATGGGGGTGATTGAGGCACAGCGACGGCTGGAGTGTGGCCAAGCTTGGGCCAATGCAGAGTTCAGAAGGTTGGAACTCAACTTGCATGAGGAGGTGGATGTTCCTATGATCGATGAGATGGACACGGAGAATGCCGGCTTGCTGGACTACATTCAGGAGGCCCAGGCCAAGGTCAAACGTTTGGAGATGGAGACCATCCAGGCGGAAACCGAGCAGGCGGAAGTGTTTCTGCAGACAAGGACGGTGGGGTTGAATGAGGTGAGAAAGACTCTCCCATTGTGGGTTCCGCCGCTCAAAGAGGAGATCTCCAACTTTGAGAACAATCAGGCCATCCAGCGAGTCAGTGAAGAGGAAGCCAATCAACTGGTCAGAGAAGCGGAGGCCAGGGGAGAGAGGGCTGAAATCATACCAGGCATGGGTGTTTTCACCCGCAAAGCAGGAGAAGGGCGACGAAGAGCACGCATTGTCTGCTGTGGGAACTACATGGAGTCCCGATCCGGGGAGGAGGTCTATGCCACCGGGGCAGATTCAACTCAGTTGAGAGCGACGTTGCGAGTTGCTTCGTTGAAGAATTGGCACTGCTTGTCGCTCGACGTGAAGTCAGCCTTTTTACTGGCTCCAAAGGCTCAAGGTGAACTTGTCATTGTGAAACCTCCTCGTATCCTTGTCGAAGCTTCATTAGCTGCACCAGACGAGCACTGGGTGGTGACATCGGCGATGTACGGTTTGGTAACATCGCCAAAGGACTGGAGTGTGTACAGGGACACCGAGCTGAAGAAGATGACGGGCATGGTCACGGTGCAGGAGGCCGAGGAGAAAGAAAGGACTGTGAGCTATGGGTTTCGTCCTATGGAAGATGCAAATCTATGGGCCATCCAGGAGTTCACGACGGGTTCGATGACTTCTGCCACCAGGGAGTGGGGACAAGTTCTGGGCTATATGATAGTCTATGTGGACGATGTGCTCATGGTGGGTTCAAGGAGTGTGACTGATGCCGCGTCAGATACCATCAAGAAGGTCTGGTCCACTTCATGTCCAGAGTATGCTGAACCGGGTGGTGCTCCTATGAGGTTTTTGGGCATAGAGATTCAACGGTGGAAGGACGGCACTTACTACCTGCACCAGGGGAGTTTTGTTCGAGAGGTTCTTGATCGGCATTGTGGAGGTGGGACTTCCTCGTTCATTCGGGTGCCTGAAGAGAAGGAAGAGGAAAGCCCGTCTCTGGCAGACGTGAAGAAAGCTCAAAAGATCACCGGCGAACTTCTCTGGCTAGCCGGTAAAACCAGACCGGATGTGTCCTGGGCGGTTATGAAGATGTCGCAATGGGCAGTGAAACGACCAATTTGGACCTCGGAGTTGGGGGCTTCAGTGCTGAGCTACATTCGCTCCACTATGGATCATGGTCTTTTATACCCTCCGCATGTTGTGGTGGACGATGACCCAGAGTTGGTGAGGAAGAAACCAAGGAAAGAGGGCACATTGGAGATTCTGGTGGATGCATCCTTCAGTCCGGGAGATAGTCACAGCACCTCGGGAACCATCATCTTGTTGGCGGGGTGTCCAGTGCAGTGGGAAAGCAAGAAACAAAGCCTGATGGCTTTATCCACTGCGGAGGCGGAGCTTACGGCTCTCCTGGAAGGCTTGCAAGCTGGAAGATCTGTCCGTGCCTTGGTCGAATTGTTGCTGCCGAAGGTGAACCTCGAGATCTATAATGACAACAGAGCTGCGGTGGTGCTGGGTTCTGGTTCCGGTGGTGGGTGGAGGACTCGCCATTTGCGCATCAGAGCTTCGTGTTTGGCGGAGGCGTTGAGGGTGGGCGAGTTGACCTTGGAGCATCGGGCTGGTTCGGCGCTTTGGGCAGATGCGCTCACGAAACCTTTACCGTCACAGTCTTTAGAGAGGTTCTGCTTTGGGGTGCTGTTGAAACCTCTGGAGGCGGTCGACATCAAGAAGGAGATCCAGGTGTTGGCGGAGGGAGGGAGGAGGAAAAATGACCAAGTGTGTTACACGTGTATGATGATGATGCTGACCGGAGCTTCGTTGTTTCAGGTCTCGGATGCCATTTATAGTGTGTGAGAAGGGGGAGTCGGAGACTTCGTCCAAGCTCGATGTTGGGCGACTTGGGGTGGCTGTTGCTGGCAGGTCTGGTGTGTTTGCTCCATTTCATCAAGGAGGTGGGGGTAGACATGGTGAGGCGTCTCCTTGCGGGCCAGGAGAATTTCAAAGTGAAGCTCCTTCATGATGATGCCGTCGCTCCTCAGAAAGGGTCTGGTGAAGCTGCAGGCTGGGATCTCTCCACCACGATGCCTGTCCGGATAGAGCCGGGCGAGAGGAGGCTGCTGTCGACTGGATTGGCAATGGAAATTCCCAGGGGCTGCTATGGCAGATTGGCTTCCCGAAGCTCGTTGGCTTGTCAAGGGCTGGATGTGGCTGGTGGGGTCATTGATTCCGACTTCAGAGGAGAGGTCAAGGTGATCATGGTTAACCACGGGCAGACAGCGAAGACCTTTGAGGTGGGAGACCGGGTTGCACAAGTCATCATTGAAAGGATCGCCAAGGTGCCGTTAGTGGTATCTACACAACTTTCCTCAACCACCCGACAAGAGGGGGCATTTGGCAGTTCAGGTGTGGCTGCAAGGAGTTTGAGAGTTGAAGGTGATGCTCGGCGAGGCAGGGGCGATCCTGTACTAGCTGGGGAACCACATGATGGAGGAGCTCCTGGGCACGAAGGGGGGCTTCGTTCGGGAGATTCACATGTACCTGAAGGGGGCTTGGAGGTAATGAGGGCGTCCGACTTCTTTCCAGAGTCCTTGGTCTTTGAGGGGGTCTATACTTCGAGGGGGGGTGAATCTATGGAAGTGTTCTTGGAGAGGCTGATCACGGACCATCTTCAGGGGTTCACCTGGCTCTTTTCCAAGGAGGTGGTGGACATTTTGAAGGTCAAGCCTTCCAATGGCATGACACATGAGGTGGTTCTTCGCTTGCCTCGAGGTGTTTTGACGGTGAAGCTTCATCGACATGGGGGGCTGGAGGAAGAAACTTTTTGACAGCGACTTGTCAGTACCTATGTCATCAAGTGGTGTTGGGTCAGGTGTGATCACGATTGCTTGGCTTGATGATGGCCGCATGATGGTGCGCTCAGATGCTCGAAAGGGCAGCCATGGGATGCACTATCTCAAGCAGCGTTGGTTTGGCTACAGCCTTTTGGTGCGAGCGGACGAACTTCTGGCTGGGGATCCTGGCTTGAGCTCGCATGGAAGGCCGATGTCGTGACCCTTGGCACCTTAGATGAGAATCCTGGCATTTTTCGGGAAGTGGCGCGAGTGAGTTGGGAGGGGCTCAATGTTTTCATTTTCGGAAGCTGGATTCGTTGGGAGGAATGTGGCCGATGTGGCGAAACGGACTTCTCCTTAGTTTTTTCCTTGTGCCACCTAGCACCTGAAGGAAGCTGGGAAATGGAAAAGGGGCTTGGGCTGAAGGAGCTCGTATTTTTCTCAATTTCAATGTCAAATTTTGATGAAGGTGTGAAGAATGCACCGGATTCAGGTCGGGATTCTCTAAGGTCCCAAAGACCACTTTGGGAGGGGAGAGCAGAGAACCCTCTCGTGTGATGAGATGTGTAGAGGCATGATCGATGAACTTCGATGATCGTGAGCCCTTTTTTTTGAGTTCAAAAGAAAAAGGAGCGAAACGGATTTCGTTCACTGTGATAATGGTAATATATGGTCATGATGCGGACTTGATGGTCATCCGAACTCGGGATCATGTCATGCACCTTTTTGTGCCAGTATTATTCACATGAACGATTCAGGAATGTGTAGAATTGACATGGGATTGACATGGATTGACCAGTTGGCTGCCACAGTGGATCGCCGCACGTCCTATGCGTGGGAAAGGTCCGATCAACTGGTTGGATTGACCCTTTTCCGAAGACCAAGGCCAGGTGGTGAACTCCATGAAAGCATGATGGTTCCAGCGCAGCGGATGCTGATGGTTAGGTTGCAGGCCTTGTTCAAAAATGGTGATTAAATGTGATTCATCATTGTTTCCTAACTACAGGGAATAGGACAAACCGGGACAAACACATACAAACACAACGTAATCCCTATCCAATCACTTGGATTTGCTGTCCCAAGAAGTTTGCCCATCTCCCCATCTACCTCCCTCCCTGGTCACCGCAAAAGGCACTGGGGCCACTCCCAAGTCGTCCACACGCGAACAGATCCGCCACTAACGCGATGGTCCTTCGCGGCTGGGGTTCCCAGGCACATTGCACCTGCAGGTACCCGAACTCCTGGCCTGTGACCCAGCTCATTTAGGTGGAAGTGGATCGAAGGATCGAGAAACCGAAACACCCCCCAAGTCCCATCGAGTTCAAGTCCCACGGGTTTGGACATTGGACCCATATAGTTCATGAACCAAAACATGTTGACCGGTGTGTCCCCGGTGTCATTGTCCGGACGAAATGTCGAAGAGCTGCTGATTCGATGGATCGGTCTTAGTCTAAGCCAACGAAGATGAGCGTTCTCGGTGGAACATGTTCCAACGTGATCCAAAACGAGAGGCCAAAACACACTTGGAGGTTAGAATTGGGACACCCCGAACCAGTCAAAGTTCCATTCTTGTGCGAATTGGAGGAACATGTTCCAAGGTGTTCGAAAACACACCACCTCAGAACGAATGGAACTTTGGACACCCTGAAGTTACGAGCTTCGCCTCGGAAATGATGGACCTCTTCCGTCCGGTGCACGCAGTGTGGGCGAAACCCCAGAGTCATGCCAAGACAATGTCAACTGAGAAAAATACACGATCACATATTGAAAGAGATATTGCTTGTCTATCTAATTGGGGGTCTATATACCTGCTTTTTGTTTGGGCCATGTCCCATGTACTGCAGTTCCATGGAGTTGGGTGATATCCCTGGAGATTGTCGGGGTGCCCAGAACTACATCCACTCACAGCTGGAGGCGGGACGAGCCACACCACCCCCTTAGCCTTTGTGACTTATGGAACCGTTTTCAAGTGATTGGACTTGTTCAGTTCTTGAGTATCTTGAGTTTTACTTCATTCTGGGGGGGGCTTCATGAAAAAACGAGCGGTCACTGACCTCAAATCATCCAGAATGTCAAACATGTCCAATTTCTTCATTATCAGCAGCGACCGGACCGCTACTAAGGGAACGGCATCGCCACCCGACGGACCGTTCGGACCTAAGAGAACACGACGGCATGAGCCACGCCTATACGAAAAAAGAATCAACACCGGTAACCTCCCAGCTTCTTCAGTTCGTGACCTGTTTTGGAGTCCCTAATAAGTGACATTGGCCACATTTCTAACTTGCAGGCCCGAACTCACTCGTGGACCTCAACCACCTGAGATGAACCAAGTTCGGTTCACTTTATGGACTGCCATGTTTGCCGCCCCGGGATGCTTGACCGGGGGTCTCCGTGCGGCAAATATGGCAGGTCCCACTAGTCGTGTGACCGGGACGTCGGTCACTCCTTTAGTCGGTCGCCACGAGTCCATCGCCGTCGCCATCCGCATCGCCCATCCGGGCTCCTGGCCTACCTCCGTTTCGATGGGTGGCTGGGATGGGTGGTTGATGGTCTACCCCACCTTCTGAGCACTTGCTTGGAGCTTTAGGGTCGCCTCGGTACGACGCGGAACGCTCCCACCGCTGCCGGCCTTTGCATACCCGTCGCCCGCCGCCGAAGGAGATGAAGGAAAACTCGTCCTGCGGCGTTCGACGGCGTTCGACGGACGGTGGCCGGTGCCCGGTGCCACACACCGGTGCCACGACATGGCCTTTAATTGGCCTAACATGGCGTTCTTCCCCTGCGGCCTAACTGTATTGGCCTAACATGAACACATCACCTAACCACAAGAGTAATTGTGCTTCTGGAAGTTCCAACTCAACAGTCTTGAATGAACACGGTGAGTCGTCATTTGTCTGCCTATATCTGCCTCAAGTATGGCCCAGGCTTGGAGGAGCAAGTGAGAAGGTCAATGTCAAAGAAAAGAAGCTGTCTTCCATCATCTCCGAGCTCTGAACCTCACCAAGAATGTAGATCCCCGATCCCGGCAAAATGGGAGCAAAATCAAGAACCTTGTCTCGTTTCTCCGATCTGCTTTGCAAACGAACATGTTTTTGATTTGGGGGGGGCGGTGTCCATTTCCGAGGGGTCCCGTATTCAGACCGGCCGAAGTTGGGATGATCGAGCCTGGGCCCAGTCACCGAATGGATTGTTTGATGGGTCGTTTCGGAGGAGGGTCCGTTTCCGTTGGAACATGTCCAGAAGCGAGTTCTTTTGAGGTCCCTCACACCAACACAACGTTCAGCTTTGCGGCACACCCACCCCGTCATCCCTGTTACACCATCACCCGTCTCCAGCCAAACTCCCCACCTCACCTGGCCCGGTTGTTCCGCGCTCCAACCGGGAGACCTCCCGGTTGTACCGCGCGACCGAACGCGCACCCATCCGCGCACTCATCAGAGGGGTCTCCTTGATCCCGTCGATGAAACGCTTCGGATCGAAGGTCTCGGCCTTGGGGTACACATCCTCGGTCCGACCGACCGAGCGAGCGTGGTGCCGGACGGCCCTTGGGGCACTCGGGTCACGGCGGATTACAGGCACCCGTCGGAACTCCGAAGCCAAGCGGTTTCCGAACCAAGCGCCGGTTCCCAGGTGAAACAATCACGTAGAGTGATGAGAATTGGCGAGAGATCCAAGAAACATGATTACCAAGAGAGGTTGAACAGCCTTATAGCCCATCCCAGATATGTACCACTACAGCGTCCTATATGGTCTCTCAACCTCTCTTGGTATGTTTGGAGCAATTGAAAGGTGACGATCCCTGAAATCATCATGGCAAGTGGAACATGGCCCAGACGGAAAAACCATGTTCCACCACTATACAAAAAGGTGGGCGTCCACCTTCCATGAATTCTTTCAGGTATATAGTGTATAATGCCAATGAAATCCAAAATGATTCACCTACTGATTCACCTCCTGATTCACTGTGTTCGCGGCACGTTCCGCCACACAGGAAAGAACGTTCACATCGAAACCCGTTGGTAGTTCCCAAGAGTCCTAGGAGCAAGAAGCTACGACCGGGAAGCTCCTGGCATTACTACTAGGAACAAGAAGCTACCAGTAACAAGGGCATCGCTACTAGTAACAAGGGCATTACTACTATAGTAGCAAGGACAAGGACTCGGACGTTCAATTTCTCGGACATCCTCCAACTCGTGGCCGTTCCTTTCACCGGTGAGACCACCGGTCCGGACTCCTCCGGTCGACTCGGGTCGAGCGGCATCCATCATTTGGCTCACGTTGGGTGAGCAAGCGACCACGCTGCCGTGGCGGATGGTGTAGCCCTCGAAAAAGCGCGCTCGCCGACGCGGTCGCCGCGGAGAACCAAACATGGAGAGACCCCACTGGCCTGCAGTTGAATGAGATAATAGCGCTGAACATGGGGGTGGAACCTAACGTGGTGTTCTGCAGTGGCTGTGGTGAGACGTCTAATCCTCTCATTGTTCCTTCAAAAAGTCCTTTTGTTGGGCTAAACAGATGTAAACTGTAAACCGGTAGGTAGATACAATGACAGTAAACACATGTAAACCGTCCCATTTCTTTTGCTGGTTCTGGTGTTCTCACTCTTGGCCGCCACAGAAGTATGACTCCGTCCTGTACCGAGACATCTTGTACCGAATCCATCTGAACATCGATCTGGGCGGCTTATGGGACGATCATCCCAACTGAACGCATCCCTCCTCACAATAGATAGTTCTAGTTTGGATGATCGTCCCATAGCTATACTGATAGTTACTGAACTCACAATACCCCACAGATAGTTCAAGTCGAGATGTTTCTTCTTCTTCTGATTATTTTTATTCTTCTTCTTCTTCTTCTTCCTCCCGTATGTCAAGAGGCAAAAACGGAGATACGCTGCCGGGCGTCACATCGCGCTGTTCTCTCGCCCCCCGAAAACCCTCGCATCCTCCGTCTCTGTGGATCGATACGCCTTGAACTCCACGTCTTGCTCGACGGTTCGCATCAACAGGAAGAGTGGCGCATGCATTCGCAAGACTTCGCTCACGGCCGCGCGCAGCCTCGGCAGAAGCGAAGCGGGCGCGGACGCGCGCGGAGCGCCGCCGGCTGCGGAGAAGGGAGCGGAGCGCAGCGCAGCACAAAGAGCACGGATAGCAGAACACACCCCATGGTAATTAGGAGGAGGTGTTTGCGAGGGTGGAGACCTAAGTCCGTTGAAATGGGCCTTGTAACGGCCTTGTACAGTCTTGCACCAGGGTCGCCCTGGTGACAACCTGATCTTGGGATGTGTGTTTTGTTAATTAACAGACTTCCACAAGGAATGCATCATGTTTAATTTTGTATATCTTCTATACGATGAACACTCTTGATTAGCGGGAAGCGATCCACAGAGAAAAACACGTCAACGCTTCAGAACCTTCACACACGGAACGATCGATCGGTCCCCGCAGGCTGCCCCGCAGGTCCCGGCGGGTCCGTTCCGTGTCTACTGCCTTTGGCAGCTCTCGCCAGGCAAAAGACCTGCTGTATTGGCACCTCATCTCATCTCATTCAATATTAGTCCTTAGTCATTAGTCCTTCCACCCCCTGCATACAGTGCTGGTTGCCCGCAAGACCACGAACCAAACATGCCTTGGACACCTCGAAATTGAAAAACCCCGCAAAGCTCGAGGCCTTGACACCAAGGAACTTCTTCATCTTCTCGTAGGCATCAAAGGTGAAGGGCGCATCATCGCTGCCCAACGCCTCAAGCCCAGTCGATCCGGAAGGAAGCGACGTGGTTGTTCTGTTCGGCGGATCCGTGTTGGAATTTGCATCCCACCTGGGCCCAAGGGCCTTCCATGAACATCTATCATTCCTCCAAGGTTGACCTGGTTTTGGATTCGAAGCAGTTAAATCAATCATTGTTCGGGATTCGCGAGGCTTTTAAATCAATGGTGGTGGTTGCGGTTCTTTCGGCATCCTTTCATTGTCCAAACCATCATAGCACAGTATTCATTCACATCCCCGCATGGAGAAGGCTGACAGGTCGCATGTTTGGACGGTCCAGCCCTACCAAGTTGGGCTGGAAAACACTCGAACCCCTGGATGGGGGGTGCTAAGTAAATCCAAACATGTTTGGAAAAAAACCAACATGGAGCGAATGGAAGTGGTGCGCTGAGTCTGTGGATGAGTACAAAGCATCCTATCGAATCTATAGACCGGATGAAGCCAGAAAAATACAGTGGTTTCAGAGGCTCGATGGCACAGACCCCATGATGCCCTTTAGATGGGGGTCCATATACACCACCTCTTGGGGTCTGTGCCATCTACTCAATACAGAACTTGGTCTCTGCGATGATTTCCATCTCGGAGAATCCATTCAGAGGACCAAGAGAAACTTGGTGTTCATTGGTCAAGCTGTTTGATGATTTGCTTTTTGTATTGTAAACTTCCAGAAGAACAAATCAGGATAATCATAACTTCCAGCAGGACGAAAGTGGATGGCTCCGAAATCGATCACAGAGTTGTTTGCAAGTCGTCTGCCCATCAGCCGGTGGAGAGTTTTCAAGGCTGCTCCAAATGGAGGCATACTCCCCTGCACGGGCAATCGCCAAGTTTTGCCACTTTCTGCATTGATCGTCAGATCCTCTAATCACCAGCAGCAAACAAGTTCTCGTCAACTGGCTGGTGCTCTTCTCTACGAAGCGGTGCCTTTGCGTCTTGGTCTTTTTGGTCAGCACGATGCTCCTTCTAGTATCCGATTGCTATTGGATGTACGCATCATGCCTCGTAGGACTCATGTTCTTTTGCTGCCGTTGCTCCGACACAATAGCTGCTATAGCTTCCACAGCAAGATAGCCTTTATCAATCGGGGCATCGGTCGACCACTGCGGCAGAAGTATTGGCCGCCGATCTGGCGGCATCTGTGGTCCGATATGGCCCACCAAGAGGTAATGCAAGTTTTTTCCAGGTCATCCAGGATGTCTTCCATCATGTCCCAACCAAAACTCCTCACAAAGCTGTGCCCTGGCGATCTGCAGTTCTTTTATATGACCAACTAGTGTGGTAACACTATACGGGCTATGGGTTCTTACGGTAATAGTTAAGGACTGGTGTCTGATCGGAGGTGCTCGCATCTGCGTCCAGCTAATTGACCACTTGAATGGACTTAGGACAACAACAGTCATGGCACAGTGGCCATGATTCCACAGGCCCACAGGTGGCTTCAGGTGATTGTATGACATGAATCCACATGACTCGTCGTAGATGACCCAATTAAATTACTTAGAATGTAGACTCTTGAATTCTGAATAATAACTCCCCACTTGAATTGACAAAGCTCGCTTCATATGAATATGGGTGTTTTCTAATCAAGAGTCTACTACTTGTACTGGCTGCAAGTTAACAGTCATGGTGTTGTCCAAGTGTGCGTCATCCATCCCATACTGGCAAGCAACTGCGCGCTGCTCTTCCAGCAGCTCCTGTACCAGCTCGGGTCGCGAGAAAAGCTCCAGCCTCATGTGCCGAGGAGTTCGGCAAGAGAGTTTGTTCAGGACTTCCAGCAACCAGGCGGGGTCTTCGGTTTGTACAGGTGAAAGGTTCATGGCTCAACGCTAGACCCAGTGCCCCAATAGTAATCTATTGTTCGGTGTCTTCTACTACACCTGGTCTACTATACTAGAACGTTTTATGTAATGCTGTGGCTGAAGCTCAGTCACAGGTGTAAAGTTGGTGCCAAGAGCAAGAGATGACTTCTTCTGCTCGCCCTAATGTAGACTCTTGACGAGTAAAACATCTCCTAGACATGGATAAGGTGCAACACTGAGTGCAACATAATCCACCGTCGATGTCTATATTACCTCTATCAAACGGCTTGGTATAGCCTTTGGGCTTCACGATCCGTCATCACGACCGGTCTAATTTCATATGTCTGAACAACAAACATCTTGTGGCACTTCTAGTGGTTGCCACACCAGCGGATGAGCCGCCTTCCGCAATGCCGCATGCCACATGTCATCTTTCACAAAGGGCCGTTTGGCGAAGCTGATACTGATAGTTTAGAATGTTTAGATAGTTGGCTCCTCATGCTACTCATAAGGCTATACAAACAAGCCTGTCTACCGAATCCAACAGCAACTGTAAACACTATAGGAATCCCCAAATAGATAGAAACGGTACCCAATACATTTTTAGTGAGGATCTATATAATATATATATATTTCTATCTATTTGGGGGTCTATGTAGCTCCTGTCACAGCATTGCGCACAAAAACGTTCTCAGATCCCAGTTGCTGCCGAAATGGCAGCCAGTGCAAAATGGATAGTATATAATTCAGCACCGGGCACACACCCTCTAGAAGACGTCCAAAAACACATGGTGTATAGAAGAAAACACATGAAATTTGGAAACGATAAAATAGAAGAGATTAATTAGAAGAAGCTGAAGAAGTTCCAACTCCCATACCTCCCAACGTGCTGGTGGACAGCTGCAAAAAGAAACACCGCTCAGCGGCCTGGCTGCTTCACGCTTTTGGAACCGAGCAGCGTCGACCAGGATGTGGTGATCGCGCTGTTGTGCATTCCTCGCGGTGTGACGACGAGGACTGTTAGAGGGGTGTTGAAGAACGAAGAGCCAAGAAAGATGAAGAAACTCTATGGATCCACATACCTTCTCAGAAGGTAATTGGATACTATTTATGTAGGCTTTGAGGGTCCAATTATATACCTTCTGAGAAGGTATGTGGATCCATAGGGAAAGTATGACGACGCATATGTATATAAACAATGAGCTTTGATGAGTTTTGTATTCTACATTGCTGGATGTCCAAGTATTGCTTGAAGCCCGCGTGACAGCACTATACTTTGGCATAGCGGACATATTTCCCCACATGGTTTGCCTGCAAACACGCAGAATATATTGTTCCTCCTTGTTGAAGGTTTGGCCAATGCGCCAATCTCTGGGTTTTGAACTGTTTAATCATGCTTAATCTCTTGGTTTCCAAAGGGGCCTGCTCTTGAATGAAGAAGTTCCCTGCACCAGCTGGTAGGTCTTTCATGGGCCGGGCTCTGCTGACTGAGGCAAGATTTCCCATCCAGCGTCGCACACGGTCCACTGTCCACTTGTAGTACACTCCCAAAAACTAACACAGACCCTGACAACGGCCCCCCTGGAAGATTGTGTTCCTCTACCAACCAGTGGTTATCAAGGTCCATGTTAGTCTTCCAGGGTATAAGGACCCTCAACGTTCCGAGCAAGTCATCCAACCAGAGTGCTTGGTCCGGTGAAAATAGCTCGACGTGGTCCGGTGTGGTCCTTTTGTTTTGGGTTTCTCGTGGGTTGTGGGGCGCGAAAAATCGGTAACTCCAAGATCTTTCACTGGTCATTCAAGAATGTCTTGATGTACTTAAGCTGAACAACCCATCAACTCCTTCCTGGAAACTCCCACGTCAACTATTTATAGTCATGAGTCATGTGCATGTAATACTCACTATGGCACCCGGAGCTCGCCCATTTTCACCCTGGTAGGTTGACCGACGGGCGTCAAGTCGGCGTCGAGTCGGGGCGGTCGAGTCTCCGTTCATCCACTCGGGGGGAGGGAACAACAACATCTCTCCTCTTTCAGTGCCATGACCCACAGCCTGGTGCCTCCCAGGCTGTCCAAATTGTCTTTTCCTGCCTCCCTGGTGCCTCCCTGGTGCCTCCCAGGCTGACTCACTCTGCTTTTCCAGTTCCTAACTCCGTAGCCATTTCAGTCGGTCAGGTTTGGCTGGCTCTCGAAGCCCAAGACCCCACTGCGGCCAAGGGCACCGCCGAAGAAGGCGGCGATCAAAAAGCCGACGATCTCCTGGTCGATCAAAAGAGGGGCCGGACAGAGCTTAGCTGGGAGGTGGCCAGTTACGGTGGTTTCAGAGTAGACACCAAAACCCAGATGAGCTTTGGATGGGGGTCCAAAATTGTTCCACCGAACATTTGGGGGCGCAGGTGTGCCATCTACTCTCAATCCCCTAAACCAAACACCTTGCGGCACGGTGGGTCGTCCGAGGTGAGCATCGCTCCGGTCCCTTCAGTGGTTTGACCGAGTGGGACGCAGATGTTCAACTACAGCGCCCGTGTGCGCCATTCACATGTTCAATTGCTTGTCCATGATCCGTGCGCCAGCTGGCGCCATTGTTGGGGTCGGGACACATGTAGTTGACCTCATCTTGCGATTCAAAAGGTGGTCTGTTCAGCTGTTCAACCTTTTCTGGCAAGAAACCACATGAGCTTCTCGTTCGCAAGAATCACTATAATACCAACCTCTATAGTAGGGAAAGCAGAAAACTCAACCCTGTTGCCGTTGAGGAAGTGATGACACTCACACTCCTCAGTTAGCCCCGAAGTGGTGGCCCAGTGGTGAATTGGGGGGGCACTCCGAACTGCCAGAGGCTTGGAACCGAGCTCAGGGAGGCGAGCAGGACATTTGCACTTAGCAACCCGGCTTGGAGTGGAACCGCTACCAGCAGAGGTTCTTCATAAACCTATATTAGTTTCAACGATATTTCCCAGCTTTGGTACCTCAAAGCTCAACAGAACGGATATTTACAGTGTTTTCTAAAAGGGCTTTTAAGCCAGCGTGCGTGTGTGCTCTCCCCACTCCAAACGGGTCCTGACTTCGGAACATGCAGGTCACTGAGAGCTCACCTCTCTTGCTCACGTCACTTGGAGCCACCGTCCACCGTTCCGTTCCCCTTCGGTTCGGTCTTCTCCTCATCGGTGATCGGCCGGCCGTCGGGGTAGGTGGAGTTCCTGCGCGTACGGTGGCGGGCCGCCCGGGACGAAGCGGTGGGTTCGGGAGGAGACGGAAAAACGGATGATCCACTGATCCAGGACCGAAACCCAGTTCGGTGGTTTTTGGACACCCTGACTCACCTCTAAGGGGCTATTTATAGACACCTCTTGGAAGGTCCTGGTACATGTACTTGAAGAAGATGTTATATTATAATGTTTACATGTTTAGCTCTGAACATCTGGGCAGAAGAGTTGGAACCCATTGATAGTTGAAAGGAAGCTGTCAACATCTGTCAATTTTCAGCTTTGCATAGCTTTGCTATATCCTGCTGGAATAGGCTGCCATGCCACTAGAAACACCAACGTCAGTGAAGTTCAGCGCCGTTTCGATCTGAAGAGAGAGATCCGGTGAACCGAACAAACCTTACTCCACCTGTTGGATTGGAATTTGCCTATGTTCCAACGGTCCCGCGAATGAAAGGCAAACCAGGTGACACTTTTCCCGGGAGGTCACAAGACCGAGCAGGTCCTATAAGAAGTCTTCGTACCTCTTCGTATGGTGTATACCAGAACCCCATTCATCCGCTGACATACATCCAACCGAGGCTCCATTCATTGAAATCGAACGTAGATGAATCGAGTGAGAGCAATCCCAAGAAATTCGGATCTTGCAAACATGGTCACCGGCCAACTGCCGACATCCAAGAGCAAGAGGAAAGAGGAAAACCCGTACAGAAAACCGCATGTATCTGAGAGTATCACTCCCAAACTATTTCACCCAGATCATCGACGAGCCAAGCAGCAGGACGGATTGCATGAAATCCTTCTCCGTCTTGTCCTCCGGAGATCGACCAATCGGACACTGGACCACTGGACGACTGGCAGAGGGAAGAAGTGACATCTTCCGACACTCAGAAAGAGTCCGACGTATGCCACACGCCCTAGAAGTCCAAAGACTATATTTTGACCGGTTGAAGTAAAGGAAGTTCCCTTTCAGGTCCCCTAGTCAGACCATTCTTTTTATAGTCTTTGACTCCCTGGGTATGCATAATATGCCTGGAGCCATGTCTTGAAATGAAGATCCTGTCTGCTTGCAGGGTTGTCCTCCACCATCGTCCTCTTTTGGTAGAACGATTCGGATGATTCATGAAAGAGACTGGTTTCTTATGAATATTCTTTGTACTTCTTTGTGGCTTCCTGCTTGATCAATTACAATCTGCCTATGTGCTCGGACAAAGGTGTCCACAGAGAAAAAAAGACAATTCCACAAAAGTTTCATGTTGGATGTGCCCAAAGAACGGACATATATTCTCCCCCAAAACGGTCGACGGTTTGTTGTTTGTGGAGATTCCCTTCTCAACATGTCCAGTGGTGTCAAACCAAACTCGCAACCTTCCATCACCTCATATCATATCGCAGTATCGTATATATACCAGGTCTTATCGTATCATATCGCAGTATCATATATTTACAACAAACCAGGTCTTATAATCTTTAACTGTCGAACGGAAGGCTAGGGAATGATGAGTTGGCCTTCTTGCTCAGGGTCGAAAATTGATGTGTTCAAAGTTTTCAAGAGGGACTGGAATTGGTACTTAAGGCTCACGGTGCAAATGTATACACCTACTCCATACATGAGTCGGGGGATAGACCTCTTCAGGTTGGATTGCTGTCATATATGATTTATGTAAGACGGACCTTTTTACACACAGCCACCACAAACAAACATTAAATTAGATTAAATTCACTTGCTGAAGATCCCCGAAAAGAATTTTTGGAATCTACCGGTCGTGCCCCAAAGGGACGCAACTTCCTTCACAATGCGTGTTTCCGGTTTTTTTCTCCCACTTTATAATGTCATGGATCCACACAGCATCCACAGCCGCTGACCCGAAGCGACCGCTTCTCTGGGGCTCCCGAGCCGCTTTCTTTCTTCGCTGATCCCTCGGGTGAGTTGAGAAGCGTTTTTCCCCGCCGGCTCCGTTCTACCCGCGGGGCTGCCGTGACAGCGGAGGGCGCACTCGCGGGTTGAAGAAGCCGCCGCCGTGACCGCGGAGAACCATATATGGTTGCACAGAATATATGTTTTGCAGTCTGCCAGATGTGCCGTCTCTAAACAAAGATGTTCAAAATATTTAGATCTTATTAAGCGATTTACATGTGCATTTCATTTTATCTCATATATAGCTTAAATCATGTGTTCATGTTCAAAGCCGGGCCCGGGAGGTCGTATGGATGTGAGACATCTCAACAAGATCAACGACGGATCTCACGACGACAGATCTCACTCTGAAAGTGCCGTTGGATATGAATATCGACATACCAGAGTGACATGGATGTGTCAGAGTATACCAGTTACCAGGAGCGGCACTCAGAGCGGCATGATGTTTTGGACTTTGATAACTTTCACTGACACTTTCCTTCACATTCACTCTCGTATACTCTGACAACCTCATGCCACGGGAATCGATCGACCTTCCAAATGAACTGATCGATTCCACCGGTTGGCTCCTTGGTGGAACACTCCCACTTTTTCCCCCAAACACCTCCCGACGTGTCGTTGTTCCCGTGTCGTGTCGCCTGGACCCACGAAGGCCCCGTGTCCGCCTGGACCCATTCAGCAGAGTAGAACAGGAGATTCAGCGCATCGTCTAATGATTCCAGGGCTGATCCACTGGATTGTCACTCCTTGGGTCTTGGAATGAGTAATGATGTACTTCTTCTCACGTGCGAAAAGACTCAGCATACTCACCAGCCAACAGAGGTTGAAGGACCGTATAGACTATATCCCAGCTCGGTACCCCAGTAGGGTCCTAGTTCAGGTCACTCAACCTCTCTTGGAGGAGTCACCAAAGTGCCAGGGTGGTGTGGATGGAACTCAGGGCCACATCCTCCGTTCGCCCTCGGCACCCTGATCACTGTGACTCCCTGGCTGTCTTTTTTCACTCGGGTTTTGCATGTTCTGGGCCCTGATTACTAGCAAGAAGCATCGCTAGAAGGCAAGGCCATTACTACGAACGTATAACAAGAAGCTACTACCAGGAGTCACAAGACGGGATGGTTTTTTAGTCCCATCCAGTGAGTGGATGTGACAGGGGCACCCCGACTACCTCCATTCATTACGCACCCCGTCGTCGAACGTGACTGCTGGCGGTACGTACCAACAGAGACATTTCAAGACCCGAACTAGGCTATCCCAGTTCGGTACCCCTGTAGTGTCCTAGTTCAGGTCACTGGATACCTCTGTTGGTAGTATGCTCCATGCAAGCCGTAGCCCCCCTTCGCCGTTGCACCGGGCCGCAAGATCGGTTTGATCATCTCGTGGATCTCACGCCGAGCCTAGACGAGGGTCCGGTCCGACGCGAGGGAGGTGGACGACCGGAAGGCTACGGCTATGGCCATGTCCACTACAACCAACAGAGGTTGAAGGACCGTATAGGCTATCCCAGTTCGGTACCCCAGTAGGGTCCTAGTTCAGGTCACTCAACCTCTCTTGGAAGAAGATCTGACCACATGGTTAAGGCTAAGGCTACGGCTATGGTGTCTACGGCTAAGGCTACAGCCATGATCCTTTCCCACTCCTTTTATACTCCTTTACATCGGGAACAACGTAGATGATCGCAAGCTCCACTGCTCAACATGAGCTGTGGCTTGGACAGATGAAGCAAGTCGCGCTATACTCCTTTCATGGGGAACAAGGGGTTTCTGAGACTACGTATAGTACGTAGACTGTGAATGTTCGATGATGGTCACAATAATCCTCTGTGGTTCATGGGACTGCACACATATATCACATATCTAAGAACCACCACAGGCTATTTCCCGCGCGGGGGAAAGCCCCGCGCGGCAGGGGTTCACCACGTTTTTCTTCCCCACGCGGTGTGTGGTTTCGCGCCTGATCGCGCTCGCGATGTCTCTGGATTGGCGCATTGGGCCAGAAGACCGACATCGGCAGCATGCCTGGCGACGGGTGGCGGAGCGTCTCCGATGTCGAGCGAGAACCGATGTCGTTCGCGGTCTCAAGCATCGCGCAGTGGTGTCGTCGTTGGGAAGATGGGCTGTTTGTCCGACCAAGCCGTGGAGCAGGGCAAAAGCCAAAGCACTCGAGGTACACTTCATCCGTTGCACGGCTACTGCCAGAGTAAGTCAGCTCGGCATTTCAGTATATGATCTTCCGAACCTTCTGGATCCAAAGGCTTTGATTTTTGTTGTCCACCTTTTCCATGTCACTGGTCAATCATACTTCCCCTGTATACATGATATACACATATATTACCTTCCTTTTGCATACTTCCCCCTTGCATAGGCGGTGAGGAAACGACGACGAGGCTGCTCCAGTCAGGTTCTCGGCCAGGGCCAAGCGGTTGACACGATTAGGAGACACCCCCATAGTAAGTGCCTGGTACTGACTGAGGCGAAACTCTTCATAGTAACAAGAAGAAGAACGGATGATCTGCAACCGTTCAGTCAATTCAAGTCTTTGGATGACTTTGGGACATGTCCTGGTGGGATCTGGTGGGTATCTGCTCAGACGTTGGAGGAACCCTCCTGTCCCAATAAGCATCCTGTAAACGATCCCATGGACTCTGCAAACAAGGACTCCTGGAAGTTAGAAGATGTTCCTCTACAACCCATTATAGTGGTTTTCAGGGTCCATGCATGTTAGACAAATTTGCAGTTCGAAGGCTAAATAACCATGCTTTGGGTGCTGTCTTGCCATCTCGAGTACCAGCTGCCTTCCCGCAAAACACAACAGTGCCACGACACGACACGTTCAGCGCCTTTCTCGAGGATATGGAGCATTTCCTCGGTTTTCCGGACGTCTTGCTGTCAACTGCGATGGCATTGACGTGGACCGATTTTTGCTGTTGATGGTCCAAGGATTCAATCGCAACAAATGGTCCTTTGAAGAGCTTTGAGGATAAGCGGTTTGTTTGAACAGGAAGGGAAGTCATCCCCAAGCATGGCAAAAGCTTCTATCCGAACTGATCGGAGCAGCAGTTTTCTGTTTCAGGGTGGAGAACGAACTGATCGTTTCACAAAAACACATTGATTCACTGGGGTCACGTTGCTTTAGTAGCAAGCCGCAAACTGGCCCTCTAGTCTTTGGTTGCTCATATAAATTAAGGTTCCAACTTCCTTCCCACATCTTTCATCGCACAGTCCTATTTGTCTGCTTGAAGCCCCAAAAAGGTTTGTGACAACCCTTGGGCTGTCTGTTTTGATGGTGCCACACCCATCATTCCAAAAAAACCATATGGAACACAAGACCATTATGAAAACATCGCACAGAACGCCACAGGAATCTCCGGCTTCCTCATAGAACGTCACAGATCCACCTAAGATCCACCACAGCCACAACCACCACAAAGGCCTCCCACCTCACCACCGGCCTCCCTCGGTCGCACGCACCTCTCTCCCGCCTCGTGCGCTCGGAACCCGCCGCCCCGTCCAAGGCGCCACAATGCTCCGATCCTCGGGCTTCTTGGAGGTCATCGCAATGCGCAGCTCGTGGCCCATGAGGCATCGAATGCCTCACCGACATGGGGTGACTCGCATCCGGCTTCGGGCCGCTGTCCTCTCATTCTGAAGAAGGCGAGGAGATGAAACTGGACTGATTCAGACTTCAACACCAAAGACAGGAGCACTCCACTTGGATGGTAGGAGGCAGTCTGGCACGGCAGTCATTGGTCTATATAGGATGAATTGGAGGATGCTCTCTCTCATGTATGGAGGCCAGGAGCATGGTTTCGTGGAAAACCGCCACCTGTTTAGTATATTCGGATTTCGTAGTTATCCGAACTCGAGGGCCAATGCCATCCAAGTAAACATTCTTAACAGGTCTTACGGACCTCATTTGACTGGATCCGGAAAAATGCAAAGCCAGTAAACTCAATGAGGTCGGTCGGACCAGGTTAAACCTTTGGACTTCTAGGGATTCATGACCCCTAGGGTTCCAAATACCTTCTAAGAAGGTGTTTGGGGTGGGTTGAGAGGGTCCAGATACCTTCTGAGGAGGTACTTGGGGCCCTAGGGGACGTCTTCAAGGAGTGGTACGTTGTCCACATAGATCTCCCTAGACCAAAGTCTTCGGTTCATGCTGACGGCTCCGGTCAGCTCGACTTTCTATACTCCAAGGCTCTGCGGAGGTTTCCATCGTCTCCAGCCCAAGAATCCGCGCCCAGTTTCAACACGAATCACATATACCCAAACACAACCTGTCTGGGACTGGCGTATTTACACATTGACCATCAGGTCAAGCACAGGAGCAAAACCGAAACCAATCACCCCTGGGATCGGTCTGGCTATGTCAGTGTCGGCCGAACTCGAAGGTCTGAACGCCACACGTGGGTGGAACGCAACACCCGGAGGTGTCTACCGACATCGTCCATCCGACGGAAGAAGACACCGAGGGTCGGGTCGGGTGGTGCGAAAACTTCGACGCCGGCTTCGAGTGTACGGCCAGGTGGCTAGTGCGGGTGAGGAGCTCCTCACCACGGTCTTTTTGGGCAGGGCAACTGTTCATGATCGGAACGGCCAAACTCAAAGCTGTTGTTTGGAAAATCAAAGATGGTAGTCCTGATGTCATGTTTTGGAATATCAATGGTATGTCATGACAAGTTAAGTCAAAGATGGTACAACACCCAAAACGTGGTAGGCATTTGGACAAAATCAGACAAAAAAACATTGAGCAAACTAAACCTGTCATCTTTTGGACCATGGTCACTATTGTTTGGAGGTCTCTCGTGTACCAACTGAAGGGCGTGCAGCTTGTGAAAGCACATTGGATACATGTCGAGTGATACACAGGACATAGAATTGGCTGTCGTCATACTCCTGGCTGTCCTTTGGGGCGAACACCCTTGGGTGAATGGCTAGAACTCCCTCTTGAGTTGCTAACAACCATGATTCCCAAGATCTCACCAGCCTTGTTAACAACTCATCGACCCAAGAAGACTTCTAGCATGGGCTAACTGTCTAACTCACGCACACAGCTGGGGATCATGGGGAACAATCCCTCTTCAGTCAGTGGCTTTTCAAAAACAAAACAAGACAATCACATAGTTACCGAACTCTAACCAGAAGTTGCGGTTCTCCCATCCCAATGGAGAGGTTTTGTCAAGAAAAGTCTCTGGTATAAAGGTACCGAAAGGACGATTTTCTGGTCTGTTCAGTTTTGGCGTGCAACTTGGATCCTTCAACCTTTGATGAGGGGTCAACCACATTTGATTACAAAAAAGGTACCAAAAAAGGGGCCCAATACTTCGACCATCTTCGACCTTCGACTCTTTCTTCATGCACCAAGAACCGCAAGAACTTCGATCCTTCAAAAAATGAATGCACATGTTCCAACGGTGGCTCCGGCGGCTCATCAAACTCAAAAAGGTCACACGTGTACCCAAAGGCTCCAAACCAGTGATGTGCCTACGAACGGGAAGACTGGAGGGGTCGGTCATTCGGATAGTAAAAGGCCATCTCGATGCTCCAAACAGCCCAGCCGTTCCCTCATAACCCTAGGGATTTGAGAATGCCGGGTCCCAGACCCCTCCATAGGTCCGGGTATAAATATATGTTTACAGTAATATATCATTTACTCTGTCAATAACTCAATATGATGGCCACCCTGGGTTTTGCTATGATTTTTCCATGACATCCCGTGACATCCCTTCAATACATCTCCCCGAGACATCTCCACCGGTCACTCGCATCAACTCCTGCATCGATTCGCGAATGCAAACAGTGCCACTGTCACCCCAGCACTCCTCAGAGTTCGCGAAGCACATCTACCAGGGCAAGGGAAGACCCATCAAGGATGACCAAGGCCAGAACACACACGGCTTGACATGAACATCAAACTGTATATGCACTGTAAATAGAGGAGTTAAGTCACATCTTCATGGCTTAAGTCACATCTACCACTTGGGTACGCTACAAACGTTGAAGTCACATCGGGGTCGGGGTGGCTTTAAGTCACGTCAGGTCAACATAGAACTGCATGGGCACGTTCTCTTGAAGGGATACAACTGTTGTCAGGTTGCATGCTAAAAACAAATGAAAATGTTCGTGAAACAGCAGTCCTTAATGATAACACAGGCATGCAAGTCACCATTGGCGCGCTATGCCGCTATGTTCAGGGTAATTATGTGTGTTTGTTTAGAGAAAAACAAAGAAGCACATTTGTACCAGCACCATCCGAAGGGTGCCCAATGAGTTTTGGATTTACCTCCTTTGTAAGGGGCGCCGAATGGACACCCAATTGAACCCACCACAGGAGAAGGTTCCAAACATCCATCATGCTGAGGCGGGCTGCGCCGCCTCTGCGCTTGTTTCTTGGAGCGGGCCACGATCAGGCTCCACCGGCGCGGTTGGGGGGCTGCTGGCAGAGGGCAGGTGTACACATGAGTTGTGCGGGTGTATCCTTTCTCAATGGAAGCCTAGTAGTGATTCTTGTGGAAGGTTGTCTTTTCCACTCTGCTCTAGCTCTACTCTACTCTACTCTGTCAGCAGCCTCAACCAACGGCAACACACGAAAGCCGCATAGCCGCTGAGACACTGATATCCCAGCCGTCTGGGTGGCTGGACGCCGCCACTCTTTTCAGTTTCCCCATACCATCCTCATCTTGATAACAACTCAGTGGTAACGGGCTTTAAGCTCTTCCTACCATACCCCGAGATCGGACTTGAGCTCTTCCTGCTCTTTGCCATGGCTCCATTGTCCGAAGGGTGCTTGGAATCGGATGGTCTGTAAGGGATGTCAGCTGCTGGGGTCATTCAACTGCCCTACAGGGTTGCCGCAGGTTCTGAGAACCATGGGTACCAGATGTGCTCACCTCGCACCCTGAGCGCCGTGCTCGAAACCCCGTGAGGCGGCCGCAGAACCGCTGCAGGGGTGGCCAACGCTTCGAACGGCCGCGACTGGTGGTATGGGTTAGGATGTGGTGACTCACCCTCTGAGTTGGTTTGGGTCCACATGAAAAAACACAAAATCTTAAGGGGCGCCTAATGAGTTTTAGTGCTAAGGGGTGCCTAATGGACATCCGCTGGATGTTCCTGGTATGTTGCGTCCTGTGCAAAAAATCCACCCAGCGCAAACACTCTGCCGCTCCATGTTGGCACTACAGTTTCTTCCACATGTCTTTCAGGTGGGACACAAAGCGCTTTGCACAATTCGACTGCTGCGCGCTTACCCATGCTGCACGTCCCTTGTCAGTGGCCAACAACTTTGCCCCTCACCTTTTTGAAGAGCACCTCTGCCAGGCCTTCATGCGTTGCATTCTCTTTTCAGTGTGCTGATGTAATTCTCTGCAGTACCTCTCAATTGCGTTCTGAAAGCACACCGCACTTTTGCAAAGCCACTGACGATGTTCTTCTCTGAGTAGCCACTGTCCCACGCCTCGTGTGCAGAGTCTATGGCCGGAAGCTGGCTCAGGCCATGAGAAGAGGCACAAAAATCTTCCTACTTCTTCTGGCAAAGAACACTGGTCGTATAAGGTGAACATAATATGGCCTGATGGAGGCGTAATTACACAAGACCGCGAAGGCGGGGCTAAGATGTATGAGAGACCCCCTCCGCTATCGAGCAAGAGCAGCAGGGGCTCAGGGCGTGGACCCGCCAATGTTGATCGCACCCACTTTTCCCAGCGAATGACGTATTCGCAAAACAACTCTGCCGACATTGACCCCTTGGGCGTCGCTCGGATTGATGCATCTGTCCACGCCTTTTCCCAACTCTCGCTGTACACTGTTCCCGGGACGCACAAGCTTGCAGGGCTCACTTTACCAGAGGCACTGACGAAAGGCAAGAGCGAGATATGGCCAAAGCTTCCTTCAGCTACGAACGCTGCAGCTTTTTTCAGCAATTCGTGGCACCACAACAATTCGCTTCTTGAGCTTTCGGTCCAAACTTTCAAGTCCCTTCTCACGCACCAGATGCGGTCTGTTGCACCTTCTGTGACAGCAAGCCAATCTCCGAGCAAATCTTTTCCAAACCAGTGACATAGGATTGCACCACTGCTGGGGTCAGATTGCAAGCTTGGTCTGCTGCTTGTTCATGGACACCTGGCCTCGTGACTTCAAGCCATTGCTGCACCTTGTAAATCTTGTTCCTGTTCACATTCCAGACCGTCAAATCACGCTCTGCTTTGACTGCACTTACTGTAGTACTGTACCTCATCAAGAAGTTCCTTCTTGGCGTACTTAGTAGTACTTAGTAGCTTCTTTCAAGGAGCGGCAAAAATTGCTGCTCTCCACATGGTAGAACATGATTTGGCGCACAATTGTCAAAGCTTTTCTTTCAAAAGATGGGAAAGGACAAGTGCAGAAGAATTTGGCGCACACTCACACTAAGATCAGCTGAGAAGCTGACAATAAGAGCCCGATGAAGACAGTCGCTCATGACGCTTTACATGCCATGTCATGAAGATAGATAAGCTCTAAATGATAAACCTAACAGCGGGTTCCTATCATTGAAGAATTTCCTTGCGCCATAGAGTGTGCTTATAAAACACAAATATTCATCGTGCAGAAGTCTGAAAAACATGAAGCGCCAAAGAACTGAAAGCACCACAAGCCGCCCATTCAATCAAGATGTTGCCTTGATTTAGTGACGTGAAGAGACCCTGGATACTAAACAATGCAATCAGAACACTAGTGCAACATTAGTGCAACCATTTTCAAACTTGGAAGTTGACACTGCCCACAACACAGAGAGCCAAACTCAGAACACAAGCTGGGACGCTAACACAAGTCAAGAATCCAACAAAACCAACTCACAAGATCCCAAGCAACACATATCCCGCAAGGCAGACGCTCAAAAGAATACGAGTAAAAAACAAGAAGATACGACTTGACTCAACAACCTAGTACATACTGACCCGTCTGACCTCTCCTGACCACTCCGGTCCAGTTGGACCTGTCGGTCCTGCCAACCTCAGGTCCTTCGTTTCGTGCTTGTGTATGATCGACTTCAGTCAAATGAGGTCAGTCCACCATGACCTAGGGATGATAAGTCCTGGAAAATTGACCATCATGTGTATCGTTGACACCCCTGTGAGAAAATCAACGATACCCCCGTCAGCCAGAAAGTCTACCCGGACCGTCCCCGGAGGTTGTGCAGAAGCAAAGCAAGCAGCGAGCACCATGGAGGAAGCCCCACGGCCAACCACATGGATTGGTATGGTTTCGAAACCGTTCTGACACATCAAGTCTGTTGTCGTTGTGAGTCAAGGCAGTGCACTGGTCCTCGGATCAATGTTTTTCAGGGTCCATGGGATGGTCTGCGGAGTCAAATACAGTCTCGATCCGTGGTGGCAAAAAAACGTCCACATGCATCCTCTCTCTTGAATCATCAATGAACATTGAGTATAGATGACCTGCCCAAATTCGGCCCCACTCTGTGCAGTTCCGAGATTCATCAAAAAATTGCACAACCTCCTCTTCCAAGGTGCCTTGCACGGAACGTCCGGCTTCCACCAGAGGGCATCTGAGTATGGTAGTAGGGTTGCATGGCATGGAAGGTCAGGTGCTGCTTTCAATGTCAAATCCCATTTTTCAACCCAACCCAACCGATATTCGTGCACCGCACACCCCAAAAATGCTGGGAACCAAAAACACGTGAACGCGTTAAGTATCCGGAGCATCCGATTGGTCCGAGGACCTTTCATCTGACAACGCGGTGATAAGACCGGTCCCTTTTACTCAACCGGAAGAAGAAAGACCAAACACTTAAGGGACTGGCATAGATGCCGCCCCAGAAAGCGAAGGACGGAAGGACATTTTCCCCCAACCTTCAATCCTCGGTGAGCCACCAGCAGCAGTCGACCCACCATCAAAACCATCTGTGCAAGATCGGTGCCATCGACCAGATCGGATATCCCCCTTACTTGTCATTTCATAGGTGCAAATGATAGTCCCTAGGAGTCAAAGACTATAAAAAGAATGGTCTTTAGGGGACCTGAAAGGGAACTTCCTTTACTTCAGCCGGTCAAAATATAGTCTTTGGACTTCTAGGGATAGTCATTTCATAGAGCCACAAGTAAGGTGGATCACAAGATCGGACGGATATGCGATGGTCGCACGAAGCGATGCTGCGATGCCGTCGCACGTGTTCTTCTTCAACCTCACGAAGCAAACAGATCAGCAAAGGGGGTGGCCAAGATACGGTAGATTTAGTAGACGACCAAACGATTTGAGGAAACATTAATAAGACTTTCTCAAGCAACAACCCGAAAATGTTTTCACAAAGAGCTAATGCTTGGATCATGTCGTTTCCTGATTGCATCATTGCTCATGTCGTTTTCCCAACCATCCGGCTTTCCCAACCGTTTCTGCCGGGTCGCTGGTATAAGAACGGATGTAGCTATCAGTGAGTCGCTCCCGGATGAAGCGAAGCTGACACGTCCGGGTGCTGTAATCCACGTCATACAAGACCTGCTGAGACGTCTCCCGACCCGATCCCCATCGCCGTAGACGACTCGAGTCGGCACGCTGATGGACTCGAGTCGGCACGGGCACGCGGGTCGGCTACGCACGGTGCGCGGATCGCGCTTGTGTTGGGTCGACGGGGGGTGGATGGCTGGACCAGTCGACTGTGGAAGAGTGGTGCCGGTGAGATCCGCATATCTCAGGATGTGTCCATACCCAGACACAACCTGTTTGGGATGCATATTCACCTATATTGGAGTGGTTTCAGGAGGTCAATGTATGTAAATATGCCAGTCCCATTAGTCGTGTCTGGGATAGGTGCAATTGTGGTCTTAAAGTATCATGAATCAATATGCCGTTGCAGGTGTGCGCCGTCCCGTGTTGTACTGCACCTCCGCTTCAAGCGAAATAAACCTGAAAGTGGAGTGAAAACCACCTGTTTGGTATTCGGAAAATGGTCATCCACGGGGCCATGCCATCCACTTCCATGATACTTCCAGGGGTGTAGTGGATGGGCAAGAAACATCAAGAACCTCCCAAGAGTGTCTTGCAGCATAAAGCAGTACTGTGGATATCTCAGTGGATATCCACTACCTAGGTCCCACCCCATATCCATTTAGTTAGGAGGGTGATCTTGCAGCACCCATTACCATGCAAGAGAGGAATGCACGATGGCTCAGTGATGGCTGCAAACATGTCAAACATCAGGTTTTCCCCTTGAGGTTCTTTTCACTTGGTGGAGCCTCACCTTGCTGGGGAAGCAACTGAGAAAAACTGTTGAGGAAATTGAGTTCCTAACTTGATCTGTTCACTAATTGTGAGGAAAACCTTTGATTCTCAGCTTGTTGGGATCAAGATGGTCCCAAATGCTGATGTTCATCAAAACTGATCTTTTTGCAGGTTCCAGATGGTCCCCGGGTCTCAGCATCAGCATGGTCTGAACGTCGTTTTACCTTCAATGTCTGACACGAAAACACCCCCCCTGCAAACCAACAGGTTTAAAAGAAGCAGGGACCTCAGTGGTCAAATCAAAACTCAGGAAATTAATGTCATCGCTGGTGAGAGTGAGATGGAGCGACCTGGTCCTTGTGCTTGTGAGACGTTGCTGTGACCTCCTGCACCACGGACTCCTCTAACAGGCCACTGACCTGGTCCTTCTCAGTCCTGGGATCGCCTTTGCATTTAAAAAAGTAACCAAAAACATGAAGAAAACTATACCAGGGCCCCCGGTTTGGGGTGGTAAATGGACATCCCGAATCACCTCTAAGTAAGGAGCTATCATTCACATTGAACCACCCCCGGTTTCGGGGGCCCTGGTCCTCGCCCGTTGCGGGCGATCTGTGTTCGGCCCTCGGCCCTCGACCCTGGGCCGGGCTGTTCGTGACGTCCATCCGTCTTGGCCATGACCACTTCTACGGGCCTTCCAGAAACAGCCATTGAAAAACCACATGGATCCACATGGGACCTATACCAGGGTGTTCCTTCGCCGTTTTCCATCCAGCAACCAAAAAACAAGTGGGATCCTCAGACCCTTCGAACCCATGGACCTGGAGACCCCACCGCCTCGAGCCTCGAGCCTCGGCCTCGGATCCGCCTTGATCCGTCCCCTGCCGTCCCCTCCCTCGGTGCTCGCGTCGCACCGACAGCGTCACCGTCGCGGAAGGCGTCACCGGTTCGACGCAGCCGCCTTGGGGCCGAAGATCGGCACCTCGCCGTGAAGGGGCGGAGGCTTCGGTGACGGCGAGCGAGCGACGACCACCGCGTGGGCGTGAGGGCTTGGGGAGGAGTTTGAAGTGGAAGGTGCGGAGGTTGGGGAGGTTTGAAGTGATGTTGGCGTGGGACTGAAGTTGTGATGAGATGTTGAGATGGTTCAGAGTTCAGAGTCTGCAAATAAATATGGAGGCGAGGTTGTGAAGTTCTTAGACTGAATTGGGGGAATTCCAATATAGTAGGGACAAGGGACCTTTCTGTATAAGAAATGAGGGAATTCCAATATAGTAGTACAGTAGTAGGGAGCTCTTTTGAAACAGAAAACGACCGAACAGTTGGGTCTGGAAGCTCAGTGTCTCGAGTCCAAGAAAAAGAACTCCTGGAGTCTTCCCACAACCCAAAGCATCCATGATGGGGGGTACCGACACCAGGTGGTGTCTATAAGCAGCCTCTTGGAGGCCAGTCGGGGTGCCCCAAAAAGCACTGAACTTGGTTTCGGTCCTGGTATGGAACATGTATGGAATTACATGCATCTTATCCGGGAGAATTCCCCACGATCAAGACATCAAGAAGCGATCCCGAAATCTGTCGTTGTGTCATCCCATCAGCTTAGGTCCCCTGGCAGTGAATTTGTACATGTTCGCCTGATCCAAGTACTTGTCCTTAGCACCAAGCACCGCAGCTGGGTCTGGAACCCAAAAACGTCAGGGTTCAGTTGGGCTGCGGACCAAAATGTTTTCCATTAGGTTTGGGTCCAGATTCTCAAAAAAGATACTGTATGCACCCCAAGACTGCGTGCATCCTTTATTGGGAGAACCCTGATCAGCCGGGTCTTGGGTACAAGTAGAGTGGTCTATTCTCCGAAGCGAACCTGCCACAGCTGCTGGAAAGTCCGGGGGTTGGTCTCTCATGTCTTGAGCTACACAGCCATATGTTTGGATTCCATTTGGCGTCGTACTCTGACTCTGACTCCCTAGAACTTGGAAGAACAGAACCGGCCTCTTCAAGTTGGAGCCCCCAAAACCCGTGAGTCCGAGAGTCTCAGGTGTAGATGGGTGAAGGTTTCAGCGATGGTAGAATCGTTGATTGAATCCCCATGAACCATAGGTGGGTGTCAAGTACCCCTGGAAGTGGAAATGGGCTTTTGCAAACAAATTAACGAAACGGCTGTTTCAATTAGTTCAATCTATCAGTTGGCATTAGGATGTCGAATAGTGTCGAAGTCTTTCTTACGAGCCATTGCGTTTCGAACAAGTATCAGAAAAGAATCTCTCTGATCTGCTGGAACCTCAGGCCAATCTGGCCATGACTGTGATGCAGGGTCTGCCGGTAGATCAGGGAAGGGTATTTCGGTATGATACGGCGGCTCGTGGGGCATCTTCTGTAGAAGCCCGTGCAGGAAATCGCACAACTGAGGCGTATTTGGTAACTGCGGTCGGCGCGAGATACCCCCTTCATGGTAAGGGGTGAAGCCTAAACGTATCAAGCTTGACGATCCCTGCTTTTTATACTGCGGGAGAAGGTGCGATTTGGAGAAAGTTTGTATATGTTTTACAATCCACCGGAAATTGTCTGCAAGAACCCGAACACTCCGTTGCTTAATGGGCAAGACACTAACTCGTGGATCATCATAAGGAAGAAGAAGTGTCTTATTAGTGTCGCGAAGTTTAATGGGCAGAGGTCGGCGCGACCAGAGCATGAAAGAGCAAGCGAGTTCTGTCCAGGAGATGCCTTGTTCCCCTGTGATGGGCGGGGTATCAGGGCACGGCCAAACCAATTGCTGGCAGAATAGCCACACCATGCGCGCAAGATTGGTGCCCCACGGACAGCACCAAAAAACGACTCGGTGTGGTTCAACAGGAAGCTGGAAGGACGGACCCTGAACTACCCATACACGAAGTTTTTGCATTTGTTTGAGGTAAGCGGTATGGGCCGATGCATTCTGCATACCGGCAGGTGCCGGACCAGAGACCTCGGAGCATCGTTTTTGTTCAGCCTTTAACATGCGGGACAGAGCGAGGTCGATAAGGTAATCGTGAATTTTATCACAAACGGTGGACTCCTGGAGCCTATGGGTGCGGGCTTCCTGACATAGAGCAGAGAACGCCGGATCATCAGTAAGTCTGGCTTTGCCAGCGGCCTCGTCAGCACAAGCATTACCGTGGATATGCCAGGCCTCAAACTGAGTTGTGGCATCCGAGAGATTTTGGTGGGACTTGATTTTAAAAACACAATATCTTGAAGTATCCCAAAGTTCAAGGAGACGCTGTATAAGGTCCCAATGAGCTTGTTTGTGCGGGTGTCTCCAGATTGTGTCTGTGTTCACAGCATGCAAAATGTCAGCAACAAATTGCGAGTCTGTGACAAACATGACTGTCTGCGTGATGGAGCAAGACGCAACCTGCTCAACGGCGACAACCATGGCATACAACTCTGAACGATTAATCGATTGGTGGCCAGGGCAGTGCCCACATGCCAGGACTTGAAACATTTGCAAATGGTGATCTTCAGGGTGTGGTGTACGAATGACCACAGACCACGCAGCTCTGGCGGTGTATGGATCACGAGTATCGTCACATGAGCCGTCCGTGTAGAGGACAGCCTCAGGAGACAGGGAGTCTAGTGGCTGTATGGAAATGGTGGTGTGGCGTAGGAACATGCTTTGGCGCAGTAACGCGACTTGTGGGTAGTGCGTGGGCAAAGGGAACCAGCACGTTCGCCGGTTGTGGTGCATATAGTGTAGCGCAGCAGGATGCTTGACGCGAACCTCCTCGAAAGAGGGGCACTCTAGAAGTTGATGAGTGTGGGTGTCAGGTTGTGCGCAAAAGGGGCACAAAGGATCTTGGGTTGCAGACCATTGTGAGATGGCTCCCAGGGATTGCCAACCTGATGTCAAGCTTAAGGCTAGAATCCGACGCTGGCGGTCGGTTCGGTGTCCAAGCAAACGCAAGGTGGTTGTGGAGTCGAAGGGATCAGTAGGGACCCCCTTGCGGTGCGTGATATTTTGATGGCACACCCAGTCCCATGCGATACGTGTTTGATTACGAATTTGGCGGTTCGATGAACCCCTGATATTAACACGGAGGCCTCCGGGGCCTAGCAGAGTGGCTTGTTCTGTCAAATCCCAGCCAAGCAGGCGGAGGTAAGATGCCAAAGCTCCCGCGGGTCCACGTACTTTCCCCGTGAAGGCACGGATCGAGGTTACCATTTGCTCCGCGAGGCTCGGGTAGTAGAGGAAAAAGCGGCGTAAGGTCGCCAGCATATCATTGACAATATAAAGCAGGGGATCTTGCACTCGAGGTGACAGGTAATGCATGGCGACAAAACTGGATGCGTGTTTATGGTCTCCAACTAAAACATTTGCTGCTGCTCGCCGGAGTGTGGTAAAGTGCTTTTGACCAATGGGCGTGCCAAGGGCTCCGTAAAAGACCGCGGGCCACACTGCGACTTGAATTTTCTCGGCGCGGTCGTCAAGAGTCAAGCTGAGCTTACGCAGGCGGTTGCATTTAGCTACTGCATTGTCGATTTTACCCCGTAGAGGGCCAAGAACTACCGCATTTGTGTAAGCAATGGTGCATCCCAAGTCATGAACATGGCTCTTGATGGAAAAAAAAATCGTGGTTCATGAGAATTGCCGAGGCCTCTGTCCAAAAGGATTTGAAAGTTTTCGTGGTGGCCCAACACCATGACTTTTTGAAATCAATCTTCATTTTGAGGTCTGCAATCAAGTTCAAAAGAGTGGTCATGGCACGAAAACATGCTCGTTCCGAGGTAGACATGAAGCTCCAATTATCTGCATAGGTGTATGGGAACAGGTTAGGGGACTTGAGCTTGGCGTGAAAAACGAAACTCAGGGCCAGCATGCCCACCACCGACATCGAGTCCCCTTCCGGCAAACCTGTGTTGGACAAGTGTGTGGGTCCGAGCGCTTGGCCACACTGGAGGGCACGTGACAATTTGGTGAGAGACTGAAACCAAAAGTTCGAAATATGGGCGGGGATGCCGAGCAACTGGAAGATGTGCCGAACCACCTGACGGGGTATGAGGTTAAAGGCCTTCACAAGATCCATGGTCCAGCCGCCCCATGCGGTGTGGTTAGTCTTAGCGTGTTCAATCTGCAGTTGCTGCATTAGTGAAAGGTCTCGAGCGGAACGACGTGGGAGCCCCCCACTGATCTCTGGAGGCCATGTGTTGGCCCATTGTTGCAGAATTTGGTCCGAGATCATTTTAGACGTTAGTCTGGCCAAATAGCCCAAGATGGTGATCGGTCTACCGTCGGAAATGGATTCGGGTTGGTCTTTCTTAGCAAAAAGGAGAGTGCGGGCCTGCATGAGGCGTTCAGTTAACCCTGACTGCCACGCGCATCCTAACAAGCTGGCAAGATCTGCAACCATGGATCGAGACAGAGCCTGAAGCTCCTCTGAGTGCCACCCATCGACTCCGGCAGCTTTAAATGGTTTCAGTCTATGGATAGAATCCCATAAGCATTGTGGATCATCGAAATGGATGTTAAGCATGGGTTGCACTGGGACTGTGGCATCGAGATCGGCTAACAGGCTTGACCAAGGTCTGGAGTCTTGTTGCTCAGTCATGGTATCACGGAGCCAGAACTGCGCCCAAAACTTGTGGAAAGCCGGTGACATATCCTGGACGGTATATGCATGAGTTTGAAACGTCAGGGTTGCCTGACTTGGAATGCGACCCTGTACATTTGTAAGTTCGACAAAGGGCGGACAACACGAATGGACGGAGGCAGGACACGCTCCGAAAGTAACTGCAGCCCCGACAGGGGCCCAAAAACTCGGGTCGGTGCGAAGTTTGGGTTTAGAACCCCGGGCACGACAAAGTGTGGCCGGTGAGGATCGAACAATCGGGAAGTCATTTAAAAACCTCTGTTCTTTCCCTCGTAGGATTCGATAAGCGGCGGCATTGTTGTTGTGAGTTTGAGCAAAAGTGATGCTGTGTCGTCTATGATACTGACGGAGCTTAGCTTCTTGGCGCGCAAAGGCATCTGCATCGAGGCGTGTCAACTGGATGGCGTCCGAGAGCCAACTAATGGATGGCACTCCACAAGGAAAGAAAGAGATGCATTCGCATGAGAGGAGCCACCTCTCCCATGACCGCCCGTACCCCTGTGCTTTGCGAATCACATTCCACTCATGTGTGATTTGGTCGTGGTAATGTTGTGGTTGAGATTGTTTGGAGATGTGTGTGAGATGTCGCAACAATGACACTAATCTGCGTGTCTGTCTGGCTTTTAAACGTGCTTTGTTAGAAGTGGCCTCTACTGGTGGGTTATAGCCTTGTGTGGGGTCCTCCTTTGCCGTTCGTGGGGCCGTGTGAGTAACGAAAACAGTGGGCTTGCATCGACCCCAGAACTTGCGTGGGAGGCATGCTTGAGGAAACCTGATCGGATCCTGTCGATGCTGATGTTGGAGGCTCTCTTGTACTGCACATTCCACTCCCTTGGACCATCGGCGAAAAGCAGAATTAATGTCGGCTTCAGTCGAAAGAGTGGACGACGGCGAGTAACGGTGTGGCGAGTTGACATAGCATGTCTCTAATAGCGATGACTCAATATTTGCATGGCCCCATGTGGCGGGGATAAACCAGTTGCGTGAGGTAGACTGTGTTGATGGCAGTTGAAACTGAAGGTACAGTGGACGATGGTCGGGGAAAATGTCAGGTGGACCAACCCAGATATCCTGGATCCAAGGAACAAGTGTTTCGTGGATAATAAAACTATCGTTTCTGGTTGAACCCCGACAAGTAGGGGGCAGTGTTTTCCCCAATCTGGACGATGCAAAGTTGAAGGCTTCCTGACATCGGATATTCCGAAAGGCCGCATAGGCAGGAAACTCACAGATCGGGTTGTTGAAGTCGGCTGCGATAATGAACGGGAGATTCGTAGCGGCACAGTGATGATAAATTTGAGCAAGTAACAAGTCACTTTTAGTGCGAATCTCCGCAGTGCGGCCAGCAAAGAAATAGGCGGTAATCAAAACTACTTCAAAATGTCCCACCAAAATGATTTGCTGCGACACTCGTAAAGTACTCTCGAGTTCGACTGGGAAAGCATTACGGGAGGGTCGACATGGTGTCCGATGTAAAGATGCTGTTCCTAAAGCCTCCCCTCTGCGAGAGATATCCGCCATCATCGGATTAACGGACTGCTTCTGAGGACTCACTGGAGGGCTCCAGGAGATTTTGTAAGGTGTTTTGACTAGGAATTTAGTAAACTCTGACTGGATGGCTTTTGTGGCTGATGTCTCAGATAAAGAGATAATGTCTGCCCCGAGGTCAACAATGTCCTGTTGACGTTCTGAGAGAACTGTAGGGTTCAAGACTGCTAACGTTAAAGTTTGGGACATCACTTGGGGTCCTGGATTACTAGCTTCCCCGATTCTGGTTCCCAAAAGGGGGTGCCAAAACAAGTCAAAAGAACCACAAGACTAAGAGAGGAAATCTGGTGAATCGAAGTAAATCGAAACTCGGCTGGCCGACGTAAAACGAATGGGGGTTGTTCCCCACCCCGCACCTTTTGGACAGCTCAGCGCCGAGCATGTTGTGGTCTGTGGCATGCATGCAAAAAGATTGGGACCTTGGCTTCTTAAGTTCAAACGGCAAATTTGCAGGATCATTCTACCGAAGAACATTTGCGAAGGTTCGCTGTGGGAAGCGTGCCATTGGCAAAAACGCCCACAGACAAGCACGTCTTGGATGACGCATTGGGAAATGGCGGCTATTGGGCAAAAGCATTGATGCTTGCAATCTGACTTGACTGACGAAGGTCGACTGAGTGTTAGTCCTCTTCCATGTCTTCATTGTCACGCTCATTGCGTTTGCGAGCAGAGGCACTGGCTCCCAGGAGTAGCTTAAGCTGGTCAAAATCCTCCCGGAAAGTATCACGCAATGCCGTCTGGGTCTGGTTTAGAGCTTGTGTCAATGTGCTCTGGAATGTGTTCTGGACTTCCGTAACCTTATCGGCTACTTCCTTTCTTACTTGTTGCAGTTCGACATGTACTTCCTTGCGGAAATTGGAAGCATCCTTGCGCTGCGTGGTCATGGCCGATTCAAGGCTATCTAACTTACTCTTCATCTGATCAATTTCCTTCTGTTGGGAAACCTGAACCTCCGAGGGAGCACGAGAGGATGCAGTACGACCAGAAGACGAGCTAGCACTTTCATGGTTGGTGGAGCTTGTACTCCAGTCGCTGGGTCGGCGGTGGGCTATGGCCTGTGCCCAAGGGTCGAACACCATGAGAGGATCTTCCTGACCAGCTGCCGGGGCTTCTTGGCGCCACACTCTGCGTGTCGCGTCTGCTGGTCGTTTGCCTGCGAGGATGGCAGATTTGGGCCTAGCGAAGTTGCTCTCAAGCGGCTGCAACAAGACTGCGTTTTGTTTCCACGTGAACGTAGCTCGGCGGATATCTGCTTGGCCTACTAGTAACCATGTGGACGAATTCAGTGCACGGAGTGGCCGAAGAGTCAACTTCTCCATTGCAATCCACTTAAGCACGTCATCGTGTGTTGCCCCGATGGGAACTGGTGCAATTTTATACATGGCTTCCCCTTGGACAAGTGTCGGCTTGGGGTCACTAGGTCGAAGGTCCTTCCACAACACGTCGAAATCCTTTGCCAAGACCCGGATGCCGTAAGCCGGCTTTTCCTTGCTCGAGCGGACAACACCAAGGGTGTAATCATACGTCTCAGCCTTGGTTATGGCTTCGGCTAGGGTCGGGAAACTCGCCCAAATCACAAAAAATCTGGAATCAGCCAAGTTCGTGAGTTCCGATTTTGGGGTGATATAGATTCCCGACATACCAGACTTTTTCAGCACCGTGTGTAGTGCAGGGGCAAGGATTCTTGCGTAGAAGCAAAACGATTCAGCTTCTTCAGGCGTTGTCTGTTGTCGATATGCCCTCCAGCTCCGCCCAAACGGGGGGCCTGAGATATTCTGGGCAGGAGTAATGCCTAGTGTCTTGAAGACTGTGTGGATCGGGGCCTCCAACAATGCTTCCCAGACCTCTGAAGGGCATTCCTGCTTCCAAGTGACGAACATGGTTTTGGTGGTCTCTGTAACCATGGCTGCATCACCATCGGATTCAAGGTGTCGCCCAATTCGGTGAGCTTGACCCCGGACTTCTTGATAGGCTCTTCGATCGCATTCAAGGTGTTCATGAACTTGGCCAACTTCGGCATCATATTCTTTTCCATCAACATCTTCTCGGTCTTCTCATCCATCACCACCTTGGAGTTGACCAAGTTCAGCGCCAAGATTCCCATGTGCACTTCGTAGCCCTTCTTCTCTAGCTGGCTGACCATCTTGGAGTAGGCCCTGACCTTCTCCGTGAACCTCGAGCTCGCAGACGACTCGCTGACCGCCACCTCCAAGAAGGTGAGGCTCATCCCCGACTCCTTGAGCAGCATGTCCGGTGTCTTCGTGGACGCCACTTTGAACCTCTTCCGCACCCTGACGTCCGATTTCTTGAAGGACATGTCGAACTCCTTGGAGATGAGCTCGCAAAGCAACTCATGCCTATTGTAGATCCAAGAGTCCGGCCTCGCTAAGACCTGCTCCTTGCAATGCTCCAAGTTCGCCAAGTCCTCCAACCTCATCCCTATCGTGTCGTTTTCGGTGTAGGGCTTCTTCAAAAGGGTGAAGAGCCTCTTCCTTGTGGACCTGAGGTTCATCATGTAGGAGGTTTTGTCGGCGATCGACATGGAGCACGACTTGGCGAATGGGTAGATCATTTTCTTGGCGAAGATGACTTTGGAGATTTTCTTCATCTTCAACTCCATGGAAGTCGGAAGGTAGGACATCATATAGCAGCCGTCTAACCTAAACTCGTTCAGCAAGTTTCTCTTCATCTTCAAGTAGGAAAAGGTCTGAGTCTCCAGCTTGATGAAGGCCTTGGATTTCAACTTCACCATCTTCTTGTTATGCTGCCCCTTGTTGAGGACGTGGGCCATGTGGAACTCGTCAAGGAAGTCCTCCCTTGCCGTCAACACGAACCTCGGCTTGTCAACCAAAAGGAGGTCATTCATGAGCTCCTTGCACACGGCCAAGACGGAACTACTCTTCTTTTTCATCCTGAAAGTTTTGCCCTCCAAGATCATATCCAACTGGTTGGGCAAGAACTTGATCTTCTTCCTCGAGAAGGCGAAGTTCACCATCTCCCCAGTTTTCTTGTCCTCGAAGATGTAAAAATGGCACATCGCGAAGATCTTTGAGGACTCCGTCAAAGAATCCATGGAGATGTTCTTGAAGAACGAGTTCAAGATGTTCCCCAGACATGGATGGTAAAACCTCTTCAGGCTTGCGAGAGCTTCGCGAACAAAAATCTACAGGTCTACAATATACGAAAATTGTGGTGTGTGACACCCCATCTATGGTTCTGACCTATATATGGGTTTTTACCCATCTACTTCCGACCCACGCATATGATGTCAGCCTTCACAGAGTGACCGTGAACAAACATCATGCCAATCTGGTGCATGAAAACTGGATGCGGACGCTTGTGCTAACCTCAACGTGTCCCAGCAACCAGCAACAGTCCATGATGCACCAACGTACCAACCAGTGGTAAATCTCTTAGTGGCTAGAAACCTGTGTCCTGAAGACTTTGAAGACCCCTTCCCAGTCACTGCTGCCTACAGTATGGGGAGTCGCAGCAAAAGGCAAAAATATTTAAATTTCATGGACAGAATTGGTGAGGAACAAAACAAATTTCCTGCCTGTGAAACAGATCCTTTTTGCTCTCTCTCTCTCTCTCTTTTTTCCTCCTTCCGTTCTCCGTCCTGCCAATGTCTGACCTTTTGTTCTTTCACCCCCCTCCACTCTCTTTCATCTCTCTCTCCCTCCCAAGCTCCTCCGTTTTCACCCACTTTCGCCCAAGAACCAACCCAACCCCCACGATCCCGGACCCTCCAAGGTTCGGAGGTGAAGAACCATTCTTGTCCTTCAGATCCGACCAAATAGACCATATCCATCGCCAAAAAGTTCACCTGAAGACGAGATCGAGGGAAACAACTTGGATCTTCACACACATGTGGCGCTTCGCTTTGTGTGTGCGGTGTGTTTTTCTGTTTTCCCCACCTGCCAGGTGAGGGCTGTTGGATTTTATCTGACTTTATCAGAACTCTTCTGTTCCTCCTCCTGCTCCTCCTCCGCGCCACCTCAACTACTCACAAGGCGTGCTGTGGGTTCCATGGGGTCAAATGAAAACTTCTGGTATTCACCCAGTTCAATTGCGAGAAGGTCCTTTAATTGAAACAAAAATCCAGGAAATCCATCCAACGTCGGTGACGTGGGCCCAGAAATTGGTGAGGTCTCTGCAGGCCCTGGAACAGTCTCTGCCTTTGGAGCCGCTCACCAGCAGGGTTGCCTTGGAAAGCTTGGTGGTCTGGCGCTGGCCCAGCACTCTTTGCAGCTTCATCAGCAGGGTTGCCTTGGAAAGCTGGGTCTGGCTCCGACTCAGGTTCAAAGTTTTGCCCACCAGTCCATGCGGTGGACCCTGTTGGTGCGTCGAAGGCGTGCGCTATAGCCATTCTTAAGGATTTTAAGGGCTGCATCGTTATCTTGTTGAAACCGGACTTTGACTGGCTTCTGGAGAAGATATTGTCCGAAGACATGTATATTCAGCACCTCACCGAACATGGCAGCGGCCATGGAGATCAACTCAGATTCTGTTGTACTCCGAGCAAGACTTCAGCCAGCTCTCTGGTGTTACAAATGGTGCAGCTTTCGCCTGCGCACTTCTCCATGGGGCAGTCAACAAAGGATCAGGTTGAGCCCAAGACCTGTGGCCTCCTCTTCAACGTCTTCAACCTCCTCTTCGGGTTCAGCTGAAGGATAACTCACAGTCTCTTGCAAGCTCTCTGACTCAATCGACAAAGCCTCGTCTTGAAGATCCGGCTGCTCAAGAATCCACGTTCGAAGACTTGCCAATACCACGTGCTTGTTCCCTGGGAACGAGTTCGGCTCAGCAAGAAAATCCAAACGAGTCTGCACCTGACGGCATCGAAGCTCCCACTGGTGACGTCGAAAAACCTCGACTGGCACCAAAGACTGCATGAGACGCAAAATACGCTCAAGCAAAATCTCCAGCACGCTGCGGTGGATTGCACGCGTACGACGATGAGCCACCTCGAGTAGCTGCCCGGTCTCTACCGTGAGCAGCAATTTTCAGTAAGCCCTAGGAACCGAACCGCGAACCGCGAACCGAACCGGAAAGGTACCAGTTTCAATGGAACCGACACGAACCGAACCGGACTGAAAAGCAGTTTCTGTCAAACCGAACCGAACCGAACCGTGTATTTTTGCCTCAAGGAACCGTTACGAACCGCAATGCTATCTATATAACCTATCTTTGGTTGGAACATTCTGCTTCGATTATTGTGTGTTTAGCCTCTGTGTTTGCACATTCACAGGCCACCTTTTCAAGCACAGCGTTTCTCGTCAGGTGTCACAACCAAGCTTTCCAAGCGAGGATTTCACAGCTTGAAACCATGACGACAGGAAGGTTTCTTTCTGAAAGTATCTAGATTTTGGGGAATCGATGATCGGAATGTCAATTCATTGCTGTACTCAGGCAACATGCAATAAAACCTGTCTAGAAATGATTTTTGCCATGTGAAAATAATGTTCAATCATGTATTTAATATGACTCATTCAGCGGTCTACCAAAAATGAATTTTGTTGTCTAGAAATCGTTTTTGGGATCCCAATGTACCTTTCAGCTTTTACAGTCTGCATTCAGAAATCTGTATGATGGGCGAAGCATGGTGCATTCAATCGTATCAGCTTTTGGGGAGCCGGGGTCATGGTTTCATTTTGCGGCCAATCTGCCCGTCACCCCAAATATTAAATTGGCATGACCAAAAATCAGATTGGCCGCGTTGCGCGGTTGCAAACGGTTTCGACCAGTCCAAACATGATTTCGAAGTGGCAATCGTCCAAACTGTGCCAAAAACGATTTTCAGAAACCGAAAATCACTTTCAGGTCGTTTTTGAATTCATCCAAAAGGAACCCCACGGGTCTCAGTTGATGGAAACTCCGGAGACTGTGCTGTGATCTGCCAAACCCTTTGCTTTAAACGCTAAGGAACCGAACCGAACCGAACCGATTCTCACGAAAACCGAAACGAACCGTTTGTATTTGCGAACCGAACCGCCCATCATTCCAGTTTCAAGGAACCGAAACGAACCGAAACGAACCGGAGGTTTCCTGAATTTTGGCATGCTTTTTCCATCATTACTGCTGGCCACATTCTGCCAGGTGGCAAGCTTGGGGCAACGAGACAAACACACTTGCTCGCAATGTTGCAAACGAACAAATTGCCCTTGCATTGTGGATATGCCTTGAAATGCCACGGTGGGGATCTTGCGACGGAGGTGTGTGTGTGTGTGTGTCCCACCCTGCACCAAAGGGTCCCACTCGATTCAGATGTCATTTAAGGAGGGGCGTGTGACACTCTTATCCTATCACACGGCAATGAAGCTGTGGACAAGAGCGGGAAGGGAAACTTGGCCGGTTTCCTGTACCATAGCTGGGAGCTACCGTAGCGTCCCTGGATGACTAACCCATTAAGTTGGGGTCATTGCTGGGAGCTACCGTGACTTTTCTGCATGCCGTTAATTCAAGAGTGCTAAGTATTCAGTAACTAGTTTCCGGAATCCTTTGTTGAAACACCTACAAGTAGGCTGACCTACCACCTTTCCGTTCTGCACTAAGTGACCAGTCAAGTGCCTTGCATTTGTGGATTATCACTCGGATGAACTCTATCGAAGTGTGTGTGCGCGCTGCGTTTTGAGATGCTTTGTTTCGATGCGAATGGTATTACCTGTCGTTTTTTCGTCCGAGTCAATTCCAAAGTCGGGTGAATACTGTCACTAATTTTCCCTCTTGGCTGGCGACCCAAACAGCGGCAGCCGGGGGCAAACCTAAATATATAGCTTCACAAAGTTCAGGTGAGTCAAAGAAAGAAATTGAGGTGCTACAGTGGCTGCAGCGGCACCTCAAAATGTGTTTGAAACAACTATAACATATCTGGGTGTGTTTTGAGGATAGGGAGACCCTGAAACCAGTGGGTGTCAATTGATTTGCCCTCCGCAAGCACATCTCTTGGAGGGATATCCTCATATCATTTGATACACTATATCCATGTGCACCTTCTCTTGGTGGATACCCCACTCCACTCCACTCCACAAATGGAACTGTACGATGAACCTGTGAGGATCACAGCGATGTCCATGGCCCCAATCTTGCCGAGCCTTCACATTCTTCGCGTACAGAATCATTCCCCCAGACCATTGATGTAAAACATGGCCCCAAAAATCTCTCCCTAGGGCTCCAGTCGTACCTCCTCAAGTGGTATGACGGTATGACTGGACCCCCAGTCACCAACGGTCACCAACCCCAGTCCCAGCGAAACGAAACGAAGGTACGACTGGAGCCCTCTAGGGTATGAAAAGGTTCAAAAACTTCTTGGGAAAGAAGTCTTGTCTTCCGAAACGGCTCCTGAGGGTTGCAGTGTTTGACCTATTCTTTTGTCAACAAGTACCCAGACCATCCATGAGACTGGCCTACATACTGATCAGCTGCAGGCGGTCGAGGTTGTGTCTGGATAATTGTTATATACATTGAACATGATGTATATTATTGTAAGATTATACTATATTGTATGTTATTGTACATACTCAGTCCCATGGATGGTCTGGGTACTTGTTGACTCTATCAGTCTATCATGCTATCGCGATGTAAGCTGACGTGAATACCCAGTGAACACCAAGCATTGGTTTCCCCGATGCTCTCCCAATACCTCGATCCTCTGCGCTTTGCGAGAAAGCGGTTTGACGTGAATAGCTCCCACCTCGCTCTACCCGTGGTTTGTAGAATAACGCTCAACTTGGTGGTCCGCTGGCATACATGTCAAGTGTCTCTCCGATGTGCGTCTCCCTAGCGCCTTGAAGATGCCGCCCATCTTCTTGTAGCCCAACCTGCGCTTTTTTTTACAAGTTTCTTCAGTACGTGACCGTTGTTGGAGTCCCTGTTTGTGACCTGAAAGACAGGAGATCAACAAAAAGAGAGCACAAACTGAAGAACCATGTGAAATCCCCTTTTTCCAGCCAAGCCGTCCGAACGCTGAAAAAAAACATACCCACGCAAGCGTGCGTGCCACGTGCCCGCTGCCGAGCGCCTCATGAGCTCCATGGGGTCTTTCAAAAATTGGATGATGGGACCTCAGCAAGCCCACCAGCACCACGCGCGTGGGCGGGGCGCGCGCGGTATAGCGTCTGACTCGTGACGAGTCTAACGGAGGGCATGAAAGAAAATGTATGTGAACCACAGCCTTCTTGGGGTAGATGGGTTACACAACTATTTTGAGATCCTGTATGACCGGGTTCGCTTCCTGATGCTCTCAGCTTTTTGACATAAGATAAGGGTCAAAACCGGGAGATATCCATGTCAACCTACACTCGTTCTTGTGCAACCATCCACAGGCTACGCACCCCTTGCCCTCTGGGCAGGTAAACAAATGCAATGCCCATGAATTAACACACACACATTGTGGTAAATCACGGCGTGTATGTACAAACAACAAATTGCAAGTTCAAACCGAAGCAAAGCTATTGCGGATCTATGGCGGTGCCGGGATATATTCATGGACATCAACAAGCAACGTTTAGCACGTAAATTTTGACAAAATGTATCTTGCAGTTGTTCTCTCTGTGGAAAGGCTACTTCAGGGACATTGGCACAAGCAACACAAGGCTCGTGAAGGAGACAAGTAAGCGGGCGATTAGTTGTTTATTACTATGCCGACGGTTCTCTTTTAGGTTAGAGGCTGGAGGGTTCTTTGTTTTATGCGGACGGTTCTTGTTTCTGCTGGCGGTTCTTTCTGTATGCTGGCGATTCTGATTCTTATGCTGGGGGGTACTGACTTTATGCGGACAGTTTTTTTGTTGAGGCTTGATGTTAGTTTTAAATAATACGGAGGGGTCATGTTTTGTGCTGTCAGTTCTTCTTTTGATGCTGTTGGTTCTTTTTTTTATGCGGAAGGCTGTTTTTATACGGACTGCCTCGTTTGCTTATGCTGGCGGTTCTGGTAAATTCACTTTTTATGCAGACGTTTCTCTTTCTTATGCTGGTAATGTTGTTTCGTCCTCTTCCTCCCTCGTTTTGCGGGGGACGGTTTCGGACGGTCCTTCTTTAAAATTGATATATATTATATGTGGACGGTTCCTTTTTCTAGTGGTGGGTGGTTCTTGTCTTATGCTAAAGGTATGCTACATTGGACTGAGTCCTTCCTCGTCTAAATTCAATGCTCGGGTACAGCAAAATGTCTATACTGGAATGGCTAATGGCTCCTTCCGTCGCCAAATCTTAATCGTACCTGCTGTGGATGTTGCTGCTTTTAGATCTTTTAGTGTTCTAGCTTGTGCTTTCACTCGATTTTGTCTGCTGGTCTCATCCGCCAGCATCCCCGAGAGCCTCGAGAAGTCGGGCATTGCGAGACATGCTTCGGCTGCCTCGCCGGCAGGTGATGCTCTAGGATCCACAGCTCCTGTACTGTACTCGGCTGTACTAACCGCTTAGGCTTTACCACACAGCCGCTTCTCGAATCTGCCACAAACAACTCTTCCAGTCTTGATTCAGCTTCTCCCGTTGCCCGCGTGGCTTTTGCAATAGGGTGTCCAATGTCCAAGAGTGACACGTTTCCATCCAGTGAAAGTATATATGACTTGGAGTGTCTGCAAGGTCTTGTTGGAGCAGCTTGCAAAAGCCGAAAGCTTTGCTAGTAAGCGCAGTAGCGTGCCTGCCACATAATCCCTTCCACCGTGGAATATTGAAAATCACGGCCCCCCCCCCCCACTCACCCCCCAATTAAGAACTCGAGTTTTAAATAGGGGGTCCCCGAAATGGAGGGACCCGCAAAGATGGAAGCCTGGGAAGAGCTTCAACACCGACAAATTGCCTAGGAACATGTTATTTAAAATCCTTTCTGAACCCATATCCTCCAGATCGAAGGGTCTTCCTTCTCCCTTTTCAGAAACCCTATTTATTAAGGTAGTGAGTGATTCTTCGTTAGACTAACAACTAAAGCTGGTGGAAACGCGAAGGAACACATGCTGGTGTAAACGCGGCGTGTCATGGTGGACAAACAGGGTGGACAGGTGTGGACAAATGGGATCGTTTTAGGAACATGATCAAAACAAACTCTCCAAAATCGGCCATATTGGTAGTCTAGTAGCGGTTTTAATGGGTGGTAGTGTTTAACATATATACATATATAATCAATAAATTTATTGGTTTCCATCATATGTTTGTTAATTGGGTAGGGTTTTTCTTGATAGGTAGGGTAGGGTTTTGTAAATAGGTACTCGGGATTACTGGCGTTCGAAAAAAGACCCGGTTGGGCCTCCGCCGAGATTGTCTTCATCCAAATTCTCCGCTTTCTGGAGCCCGCTTGAAGGTTCCACCTTGTCGCTCGATTGCCATCTTGAGGAAGCCATGCACCATATGTGCAAGATGCAGAGTCACCTTGAAAGTCGTCTTCCCATGGGAACAAACCACGAAAACGGTGTGTTTATTGTACGAAGTGGTCTGCAAGAAGCCATTCCGGCCAGAATGGCTCCAGCATTTCGTCGACCATCGTCAACCTCAGGAAGTGACAAGGACTTTCTCCATGAATTTGGGACATCCGATATACCGCGAACATGTGGCGCGGCGCATTCTGGATCTATCCTGTCTGTCGCAGATGACCAGTCAGAGAACAAATTGAATAAGTTCCCGATTCTCTCGCCATTGTTGAAGTAGCTTCCATCCACCCTTGCACCAAGGCAGGGTTGGTTCTGCCAGACGAAGTCTGAATCTCTGGACAGGTGACCATAACAATCATGTCCTCCTGTAAGACCGTTTTTTTGATCACGGTCATGAGCGATGATTCCCTGAAGGAATTTCGCATATGGTGAAAATCTCAGTACAGGAATGGTGTTCCTGCTGTCAGTGAGTGGTCTTAATTTCACTGGTTCTCCGATGAAAACAACTCTTTGACGGACTCCGTATGGCTTGTAAAGGCCATCGTGTTCCACGAAGTCATGATGCACTTCGACTCAAAACTCCCTTTTGCGACCAATTTGTTGATGACAATTTGCACTCCAAACCAAAGTAGTGCGGCTGAAATTCCTCTGTCTGTCGGGTCTTTTTTTGTGAATGAATACCATTCCACCACATCTCCAGTCTCCAGATTTCTTTTGGTGACTTCCAACCTTGGGATATACCCATGTTGATGATAGCTTGAGCTGAAGTAAGTTTTCCACCCTTGTGGACTCTTGTAAAATAGTCTGCATTCTGCTTGAATGGTAATTCCACTCTTCCAAATCAGTCAGGAACTGCTCCAAAAAAAGTCCTCTGCACGTAGAGGGTTCAATACCTGAACTTTCGAAATACAGTATTTCAGAAGACAGGTTTTGTCAAGAAGGCGCTGTTGCTCAAAGGCTCTAGCTCCAGGTTTTAATCTGCAGCCATATCTTGGGGCATGCGTGGACAATGTGCTTTGAGCACCAACGCTCTAGCTGTGCTTCTGTTCCACCCAGCAACCTATCGTTTTGTCTGTGGAAAAAATATCCAACAACATGGCATAGCGCATTATCAAATAGATTCAAATATCTTTTGTCCCTGCAACATGCTCGTCCTTCCCAGTTGGGCCCCTTCAACTATATACAATCGACTGTTTCAACCAAGAAAACGACTTCGAACAAATCAAATTGCAGGACCCAAATACTGTAGGGCATATTTGCCTACATTGATCCCTGAAACCACCTGCAAATATGGCAGTCCCATGCACCTGGATATCTTGTACCTTCGCAGATATCCCCACTGCTCAATGGCATTCTCCCATCCAAACAATACTAGCAAATCAACAAAAGGGAGAAGGTGATAGAAGGTGTAAGTAATCAGCCATCCAAATCACTAGGGAAAAAGCACCACTTCACTCACTTCGCTCACTTCATCCACTCCCTACCCTATACATTTGGGTAGAACCCCAACACACACCGCGTCATTCTAAGGGTCCGAGCCAAGCACAGGGATCCCCATTTGAAAACTGGGCGGCTCTTTCCTGCCATCGACCGGGCTCAACCAGTCCACACGACCAGTGTCGTGCGGTCGACGGTGTCGGATGTGTATGGCGGAAGAGGCAGGGTGTCCCAGAGCCCCTTGTGTATCACACACCCCTTATCCCAGGCGAAGTCCTGGGTCTCATGATGTCTGATGTCCCAGAGGTTCTCGCCGAACCAGCGAGTCGGGAGGCTCCATGTCCGAAATGCAGATTCCACAAGATAGTAAATACAAGACCATCTGGCCGGTAGGTTACTCCCTGAAGGTGATCCATCTGGCTACTAAATCCAGTTTAAAAAAATTGTATCTCAATAGTTACCTATAGAGAGGAACACCTTGGCGGTATCCCCGGCCCACCAACAGAGGTGGCTCTGGAATCCTACAATTGGAATCGTGGAACATGCTGGAAGCCGCGTTGGGTTGCAGAGCTGTGTATCATGCGTGTGATTGCGTGTGGAAACCCATCCTGCTCAAGTCCTCTTTCATCCTCTGTCCAACAGCAAATCCAATCGGAGCGAGGCCACTGGTCAACAAACCAATTTAACACAGCCAACGGAATCACACACCTAAGGCAAACCCACAAAAGCGCTGAAAAAAGAAACATGTAATTACGGAACCTGTGTTTATACATGATCATGGTACCCCCACATGCCCCCACCCTTCTTCATACATCAGCTCTCTTAAGAAGGGTCCCCCCCGCCACACACCGGCCACCAGCGCCGTCCTGGAACGCCACCAGCGCCGCAGCAGCAGCGCGGAGACGACCACCGTCGCGCCCACGGGCGCCAAGGTGTGGATCGGGCCCTGCCGAGCGGATCCGTGCCGCGCGACGTGACACGTCAAGTAGCGGCAGGGGAAGGGACACAAGAGCCAAACCGATGACCTACGAAACGTGTGAGGAGTGGGGCTGTAAGGGCCTTGAAAAGAAAAGCTTTTGAAGATCAGCGAGGTATGTAGGACCAAATGCCAAAGGTTTGAAGAGGAGTAAGGTCATGGATTTTAGCTCACTGAAGACATCATGGTGGAGCATGGTAGGTGGATCACAGTGGCTGGTGGATTTTCCCTGGTGTATTGACTGGCTCACTTGGAGATGGAATTGGAATTTAATCTATTGGCGATCAATTGAAGACTGGTGGACTTTTGTGGCCTTTCAGTCTATTTGATCGAAGATATGATGAGAATTGAAGCGAATGTTGGTGGTCAATCGGGCGAGTGTAACCAATGTAGCTATATATACCAATTCCAAACTCAGGCATATTCCTGCGAGTAGAACCTGAAAATGAACCGGAAGATTCTCTTCCTCATCATTTTCCTCCAACCCAGTGGAGTTCCGAGACCCGATGACTCAAGTTGGAGGCCTAGGCTGGTCGACGGTCGCGGGGAGTTCGGCCGCTACGGCCGAACCCGAAGACGTCCTGCCCGAAAGCGAATGCGAAAAGACACAGCAAAACCAAACCAATGGATGTATGTGCAGCAAAAGCTTTTGGGTCGATATGTTTTTAGTTTTGGTGACTAACAGCTAACACGAACATTAGGACAAAAATAAGATACTAGCACAAGATAGCAGTACAATATGAAAATGTATGTATATATATATATCATGAACCAAATGAACCAAATGCGTACTACCACAGTCCCCCCCGTTCCTTCACTTCTACCCCACCCTGTTCCCCCACGGTCCCACCGGCCCCGCCTTCTCTTTCAGCGACATAGGGCGAGAACCGCTCCTGGCACCCGACGGTCGTTGCGTTGGGCGGTCGTTGGAGCCCAAAGAAGAAGGGATCTCATTTGGCGCGAAAGGAACAAGGCGGCGTTTCGGTGGATTTGTTTATAAGATGGTTATTATATTTGGTGAACGCCGATGGTGCGTGCAGTTCATGTGGATTTAGTATATCCCAGACGCTCCATGTATGCCATATATGCCAGCATTGACCCCCAAAACCACCCCAATGTAGTCATATATACAGCATACTGGAGTGTCTGGGTATAAGTGACAATCCCAGACTCCCTGATCAATCGGCACTCAACGGCCCGCAAAATTGGAGGATCTCTCATACGGAGACACATTTCATCAACAAACAATATGTATTAAGACTTCCGTCACATCTGGAAATCCTAACCAAAATCAACCAAAAAAAAAACTGTTACTCATTGTTGTAAAGTCTGGAATCTAGATCACAAACCAGTTACCCATTGTTGTAAACACATAAAACCGGAGAAGAAAGCTACGGCTGCTGCAAAAAATGCTACCTAATGATCCTATGTCGCAAAGAAAACTTTGCATTAACTTTGGATGACAAAAAGCACAACAAACACACAGAAAGGCTGCATGTTCAGAAACGAGACCATGTCATCTAGGGTCTCTTGCGAGCTCAACAAGCTCAACATTCAGTCGAAAATGCTCACATTCTCAATTTGATGACTGGGCACAAAAGTTGGAACATCACTGAAACCCGAAGGATGTTCCCAACCCCAGTCACTGTGGATCACAATCTATTATAAAATATAATACCTTCACCAAGAATCTTACCCACGTCTACGTGGCTCGAGTGTTGGGAGAATTCAAAAGAACATAGCAGCAGGACGAGCTCTAAAAAAAAACACACTCAATTCCCCGGTGACCCATTCTACGCACACCACCGTGCACGGGCGTCCAAAAGAAAATGAAGAGCTCGGGCTCGCTCCTCTCAAAAGCACAAGGTGAGGAGCATGGGAAAACGCTTGGGCCAAAATTTCAGGAGCCACGCCATGCAACGTTACGAACCAGGCCGCGCTGCTGCAACCTCGTCCCCCCTCGTCACCCACCTCGGCGCCACGAACGCCACGAATGAAGTCAATGCGTCCACGTCCAGACCACATGCGTCGAGGTCTCGAAGCTTCGACCACGCAGCATTTGCGATGGAAAAAAAGAACACCTCCTGGTAATGTAGTGTAACGTAATGAGTAAAACAAAGGTGGTTCGGCAAAAGCCATGAACATAATGGTGGTTGGAAGCCTGGGGATAAGGTATACCTCCACATACAAACACTTCACCCCTATAGCCAAATATGACCTACTACATGACGCCAGTCATGGCGCCAAGTCTTGGAGCGTCTGGGATAGAGGAAGTTTTGGACCCGTCCGACCTTCCCCTAAGAATCGGATGTGAATTCTTCCGCCCAGCTCAGGTGACTATCCTTCCTTCAGTCGACCATCGTACTCCTTCAGTCACCACAGGAAACATGTCGTCGAAAACATCCGCTCGGCCGAAGGGAAAACACGACGCTTGGTTGTGAGAGCCTTCTGTTACGCCCAAAGGTTCAGAGTTTGGACCCTCACAAAAAGACTACGGCTTTTGGACCGAACATGATCGAAGGTTCCACATGTAGCGAACCGGAAGGTGGAAGGTATTTCTTTGCCAACAAAGGTTGAATGACCCTATAGACTATCCCATAGGTACCCCAGTAGGGTCCTAGTTCAGGTCACTTAACCTCTCTTGGTGTGAATGGACGTCCCTTGATGCTCCCAGCACGCCACGGTTGGCAGCCTACAGACGTGGCGTTCTGCCCTTCACACCTGACTGCAGAATGTCCAGTCCCCCTATAGTATGTGTCCGACCGTACTGAGACACTCACGACGCTTCCAAGAAATGAGAACGTCTCAAGATGGATCTTCAATTGAACCAAGATGAACCAATAACATGCAGAAAAAACAAACAAGCAAACAAACACAAACGCAAACATAGCACGACATACGACGTCATGGTCGTAGACCTTCAGTGCTGAAGGACCTTGCGCCCACCCCACGTCTGAAGGACCTGGCGCTGTTTACATCCCCCCTTCTGTCGGCGCGCGTGGCATGGCGTGGCGCCGGACCCAGTCTCACAGGACCCGTGAGCAGGACCGACCCGCGTTAGCGGGTCGATCACAGGTGGCGAAGTGGGTCGGGGTGACCGTCATCGATTCGCATTTGGAGAAGTGGCGTCATGTTTAGGGTGCAGTGTGCTGGGTGGTTGTCATATGTCTTCAGATTTACCTTACGATGACTGTTTTGTGGTGTTTGAGATCACTTTAGAAGGAGCACACAATCAAGAAATGCTTCTCAACAAGAAAGAATGCAGCGGAAACTCGATGGATGATGACAATGACCCAATCGCCTCCGGAGTACGTCGCGTGCGGTCTCACGCGATAACGGGACCCAGCATGGTAGCAGGGTCTGTGCATTGAATTGCAGAGCCTTGGGAGTTTGGGACATCTTAGACTCTCAAGAGGATGAACGGCTTGTAAACAAGTTTGGTGATACCCAGCGGGTCAAGGACCCAATCACAGCAACTGCTACATGTTTCCGGTTCCTTCGGTTCCTCCGGTTTCTTGAGTCGTCGAACATCAATTGGCTATATCCCTATCAGCAACCAACAGAGGTTGAAGGACCCGAACGTTCGACTATCCCATATATTTGTACCCCCAGGTGACGGGTCCTAGTTCAGGTCACTGGATACCTCTCTTGGAATGACGAGGGGGTGAACCTGCCTGTGTCACCTTATTGAGTCTTTTGAGCAAGAGGGGCGGATCTGCCCTCATCTGCCCACCCGCAAAACAGGCTAGCTCGCTCGCTCGCCAGAGCTCGACAGCTGGGCAGAATGGAGCCACAAATAGGGTGTGTGACCGTTCTTGGAGCTAATGCTGGGCGATATTTTAAGATTTGTGACTTTAGAAAAGTTGCCAACAAACCGCGTGCTATTGCCGAGACTCCCAGGCTGTCTGACACATGTTGCCATCAGGCTCAGGGATAATCAGGGACTCGCATCTGTCGTCGCACCTGCAAAGATTCTACTTGATGCCGACGTTCTTGAATCAACGCGCATCAAACGCACGAGCGCAAAATATGTTCGTGTTTACAGGAACATCTATGGAGATGAAACTAGATGTTAAGTGCCAACGAAAAAATGGGATGATTTGAATCCTCGCGAAGTGTGTACACCCTAGGCTTCCAAGACCATTTAACAAATGGTTGACCTGGTTTTTATGGTGTAAGATCCTTAGTTGATTCGGGATGACCCGCCTATTCATGGTTGGCCAGGAAGCCTAGGGTACATAGGCTTACATCGTCTAAGTCCGGCTCACCTCCTCTAAGTCCCACATGTAAGTCCAGCTCCGAGTGCTCGCCAGCTCGGTCCCCGCTTCACCGACCTCAGACCTCAGACCTCCGGTGGTGGGCGGAGGCTTGCCATGGGGATGCCCCCGTTGCAGAGACGTTGGAGGTTGGAAGACTGGGAGGGAGATGAGATGGGTCACCTGGAGCGTGGACTACTTGGAATCGGGTGAAAAACCGGAGAGTTCGACTCCCATCTCCCATCATGTTGAGTGCTCTCGTTTGCTTGAATCGAACAAAACAGAGTTGTTTACGCATGGCACTGGTGAGCATCGCATATCGTGCTGTTTGGGCGAAGATATGCGAAGATGGCTATTTCATGGCAACCGGGTGACCAATGGTCAACCGCTTGGGGAACTGAAATGGCCTCCCTCCCCAGCTGACTCCTTCACCCTGGGGCTCCAGTCGTACCTGAGGCAGAAGGTATGACTGGACGCTCCAAGCCCACCCCAGTCCCACCTTCTGAGGAAGTACTTGGAGCCCTAGGGTCAGTGTCCCAAAATGGGCCGCCTCCGTGGCTCGTCGCCCACATCCAAAAGTGTTTTGTGCTTGGACTTGGTCAGTCTTCGGCCCCATGAGCGTGAGCACCCCGCGGCACACGAAACACACCAACTCTGCTTCACCTGGTATCCGGCTTCGTCGGCGCGCCGTTGGTGAAGTGGCACCTGTCCCGTTGTCCCGTCCCGTCCAAACGGCGAATGGGCGAAAAACGCCCGGTGTTCGGTGTTTCCTACGACCAGACTCAACAGGCAGGTGGGGCAGCGAGACTGTGCAGGTTCGCTGTAGTTTGGCAGACATCCTCTGGATCACATCTGTTTCTGGAATTCTGCAAGTCTTCGCCGCTCAGACAAGGTACAAGACATGTTCACCTTCCCAGTACTGTGCCAACTGGTGTAGCGTACACCTATATACTCCGAACTGCTATCAAGACACTTGTACACAGCTTCTCTATTGGCCCCGGCGTAATAATGATATCCCTGATGTTGCCCACTAACGAAGACAGAACAACCCAAGCTCTGGTGTGCGTGTCCTTCTTGGGTCTTCCTTGAAATCTATGTAATCCTCATGGACCAACTCGAATGTAGGAAAATATGACAACATATGACAACAAATACCTGTTTTTCCAATCCTTCTAATGTTCCACCTTCAACCCCCTCCGCCCTCCTCATCTCAAAAAATAGTAGATGCTGGATCTGAGAATCTGCCTTGACTGGTAGTCTTATACCGTCCAGTCACTGCGCCAGCTACACCTGAGTGGCCCGGGCATATCCATAGGACCCCGCATAGCCATACGCCGCCCGCCGGGAGCCCCGCCGGGGACTGGCCTCGGATCCGATCAGCTGTGAGGAACCCATGGGTTCCTGCCTCACCCGTTCCCGGTTCGGTGGACACATAGAGTCATAGACGGGTTTAGGTTTAGGGTAATCTGTTCATTTGACCTGGGGTCAACCAGGTGTCAGGAATCCTCTGTCATTGAACAGATTCCTCATCTGGGACACATAGACAGAACCGTGGGGGACTCTATGTGAACTACCTAGGGGTCCACCAGGAGACCACATGGAAGTTTGGTTTTGCTCTTTCGCACGCCATCGGCCGAAGCCTGTAGCCGCTGCATCTAATTACGAATTATTCTTTGCATTGTCGGTTCCCGTAATCGGCTCCCATGCCGGCGTCGAAGTCGAATCCGGCAAAAAGGGGCTGCACCTCATCTAAAAAGTAGAGGGCAGCTCTGGGGCCTCTTCCGGGAGAGACTGGCTGTCAGAAAGGACCTTTGCAAACACTGCACAAAGGAGGGCCGGGTACTCTTTGAGCACCGGTCTTACTGCTAGTCGTTGAAAAGATTTACTTCTGTTGCTGTCCCATCTCAGTGATCCGATGGACCAAACTGATGGCTCTCTTCGTCTGTACCCAAACGGTACGCCGTCTTCCTGCATGAGTGCGAAGGAAAATCTCCACATTCTGAAGAATTTCCGCTTCTTCCAACTTGTCAGCTAGAAGCACTTGAAACTGCTTTCTGTCTTGATCTTGCTTCTGTTCAATCTGCATCCATGCGCGATAGCCAGGATCGGTGCCGATCTTACCGCGAATCCACAAAACAGCGGAATCCGGTTCATTGCCAGCTTCAATCATTTGGAGCCACTTTACAGGAGAACAACCTTTCCAAGAATTCACAACGACGTGAACATCATCGTCTGGCCGTTCGGTGACAGTAAACGGAAATTTCCTGAGTTCTAGAAACATTCGAAGTTTGTCATAAATTACTCTGGATCCAGTGGCGACCAGCAACTTTGAAAATGCGGCGTCCACTCTGTTAAGAGCAAGCCTCAGATCCAATCCCTTAGGAATGAGTGAAGCATACCTCAAAGGGCACACGATGACTGATCTTTGTTCATTATCCTGCACCTCAAGAAGGGCGCTTTGGATGGCAAACGCCGCAAAAACGGGGTTGCGATAAAGACCTCCAGCCGTCGGAAGCGGGTCATCAGAATGTTTGCATCGTTCATGCAATGAAGTCCTCCAAGACAGCAATGCGAGCAGTCGCGTTTGCTCCAAAACGCTTCAATGCGGCATCATCGTCCAACGGGT